ACTTTCTTCTCTCGACTCATTTCTAGGACAAGTCACCAACTGCCCAACGTGCGTGGGCACAGGAGGAAACGCTGCTCAAGATTGTGAGAATAAGATTGTAATGAGAGATTGCAAGGAAAAAGAAGTGTGTGCGATTGGTAGTGTCAATAACTATATTTTGCGAGGGTGTATTTCCCGATCAAGGTTCGATGGCATGCAGCCAAAGTGCCAGAAAATTAAAGGGAATTGTGCGATGGCAATGTGTGATACAGCTAATTGTAGACCTGAGCTCCCCACAAGAAAATAATCATTGCGTAAAAAGAAAGAATGATTATGATGTATTAAAACACCTGCAACATGAAATGCTCTGAAACTTGTTACTTCTCAATTTTTATATTTAGCTGAACTCAGAGGACATTTTGAAGAATTTGAAACCTCCCACGTGTTAGATTTTTAACCATAATGGTCGGACATCTTGCGTTGCGTTGTACATTTTTGTTACGAGCCCCGTTAGGTCGAAGAACAATGACAATAAAAAGTAATGAAAGTAAAAGAAAAGCGACTAGAAAAAGTTTTAGCACGAGTTATTCACTCTGAACTAATTGGCTTCATGAAAGGAAGATATTTTGATCAAATTAAGATATGCGAGTGATTAATATACTGATTGGAGTCCAATTTGGTCCGATATTTAAAAATTAGCTATCGTGAAATAACCAAATGTCATTAAAAGCTCCCTTCCGTTGATCTCTGACATCGCATACGACAGCGCTATGAATGAAATTTCTCTGAAGTGGCTTTCAAAAGCTCTCCTACTATTTAAAGATTTTGCTTGATCGTATTCTCTTTCGTCTCGTAAAAAGGAGCTGCCTAGATAAACTAAAGCGCAAAATTGTTGATATCTCACCTACAGAAAGGTAGAAAAAGTATTTGGGCCTCCGGGAACAAAACAAGAGCGTTCTAGCACAATGGTATAGCTCTCAGTGATTTTGCCATAAATCAGTCTTTGCCTTACGTGGGCGTCTATGAGCTGAACTTTGTGGAATTCACCGGTGACTCATGAATTACATTTAATGACATAGTTACGTTGCGCATGATAATTTGTGACGCTAGTCTATGGTATTAACATGTACGACTCATGGGATGAGCTTTATTTTTAAAAGAACCCGATCCCTAACGCAAACAAAAAGACGAGAGCGACCGCGTGTGGGTAAAAAAATGGATATCACATACCTTTTGACGGCTCTGTAAAGTACTCATTCTGTACCTTACTCAATGAAAAGCTAGCAACCAGCTTATGAGATAAGAACAATACTGTGATGATGAAGTGAGAGGTCTAAGAAAAATAAAGCATTTGTTCGGTCAGTTCATGAGTGATGGCGCCACATTGAAGAAATGTAAAATGGTTTCCGTGCTTACATAGCCTGATGTAAACACTTGGGAGGTTGGGAGAACACGAGATAAGCGTAAGGAACCACGACGCGAAGCGGAGTGGTTTCCAGCTTATCGAGTCATCAGGCTATGTAAACACGGAAACCATTTTACATTTCTTTTATAAACTAACTAATGAAAGAGCCTCTTCTTGCAACGAAGGAAAGCGACGTGCTTGTTGTTGTTGTTCATTTGGCTTTTCGGCCGTTTCTTGAATACTGGGAAAATTAAACTCCAAAGAAAAATAAGGAAAATCTTCTTCTTCCATTACTGTACTCAAAACAAACTTAAAGAAACTGAGTTACTACTAAATAAATAGCAAGGAGAACTCCGCGAGAAGATTTAGTATAAAATAAAAAATATAAAATAAATGTTTTTAGTCGTCGTGTCGCCAACATCTTGATAATTCCTAGTACAAATGATACGATCGCGTAGAAAAATTTCCGTAACCTAAAGTATTCACATGCAGTGTTATCATAGCCACAGAGATAAACTAGATAGCTACGTATATAGATAGAAATATAGACAGACATATATTTAGATAAATAGGTAGATAGATAGATATATAAATATACATACGGACAGATAGATAGATAGAAAGAAAGATAGATAGATAGGTCGATAAACAGATAGATGATAGATAGATAGATAGATAGACAGATAGATAGATCGATAGACAGATAGATATATAGAGAGATAGATAGATGTATAGACAGATAGATAAATAGACAGACAGATAGGTCGATCGAAAGGTAGATAGACAGATAGATGGATATATAGAACGATTGACAGATAGATAGATATATAGATAGACAGATAGATAGAACGATTGAGAGACACATAGACAGATAGACAGATGGATATATAGAACGATTGACAGACAGACAAATAAACGGTTGTGAATATATGGAAGTCATATATTTCAACTTCGGCTAAAGACGTGAATATGAAAGCGATCTTCGCAGTAATGAACACTACTTAAGTAGTGGTGAAAAGAAGGCCTGAAAAACATTCAGGCCTGTACAGGATTTGAACCCATGACCTCCGCGATACCGGTGAAGTGCTCTACCCACTGAGCTAACAAGCCACCTGAGAGCTGGTCACTGTGTTGTTTCCAAATATACCCGTGAAGTGGTAAATAAACGGTTGGGAATATATGAAAGTCATATATTTGAACTGCGGTTAATTACGTGAACATGAAAGCGATCTTCGTAGTAATGAACACTACTTAAGTAGTAGTAAAAACAAAAAAAAAGGAGAAAAAAGAAAAAAGAGAACGAAGTGAGCAAAATATGGTCAAGTACAATTGAACCACGATAAATTGGAGCTGACATCAAAATATTTTGTATGCTTCGGGAACTTTGTATCCGAAAACATAAACTCTTGAAAAACCATCGACCTAAATGTTACCTAACTGTCTGTTTTTGAACCACCTTTTTTTTATAAAAAATTAAAAGACGCCAAATGTGAATGGCATGACCGTCAAGTTTAAACGTTGTCTTTCAAGTCCTCCTTAAAAAGTACTATACGCTATAAAGCCTTTTTCTGTGGCTTTTTTTAAAAGTAGTCAGCAACTTCAAGTCTCTATTTTTTACTTTTTCGATGATCTATTTTTGTTACATAAACGATTATGTAAAACATGACTTGATTAAAATGACTGGGACTTTAAAAGTGCCTATTAATTATGCGAGTCTGATGAGCGTTTACTTTTTGCATTATAATTATATTTACCTTTAAAAGCCTTCCTTGGTTGTTTCGGCCTCTATTGAAAGGTAGAGGAACACAAGAAAAAAAATCTCCCTAATTGCCTTCATATCCATTTTGATTCCTAGAAGAAAGAGGAAAAAGACATCATATGTAATGCACGATTGTGTAAAATGCACAAATAACACGTTTAATTATAACAGGTCATTTCATCATCTTTTATCTTTTAGGTCATTTAACTTATTGACGGTTAAAATAAAATTGTTCTTCATTTTAAATTTCAACATAACACGTTAGGTCAAATTTTCGTCTATTTATTTTCAACAAAGAACTGTATTTTCTTTTAATTCAGATTCAAATTCATGGTTAAACAGTCTTGCATCTAAATGCAAGGCTAAACGGCTCGTTTTGATAATTGGGCACTCCTACCAGCGAGTCTCCTTGTCTACCAACGAGATAATTCAGGTCTAGGTTTAAAGGTAAATATATTTCTGCTATCTTCAGCTTTTCATATTAAAGCTCGATTTCGCAAATGCATCAGATTATGATTGACAAATATCAAGCTTCAAGTGGCTAGAAAATGACGAAAACGGTGAGAAAATTGTCGTAAATGTGCTTACAATTTGGCATCTACAATTACTTTTCGTTCCTTGCATTGTTTAAATATAATTACGGACATTTATGTAGAGAAGGCCCTACTCTTCAAGTTCAATAATAAATACCGGCGTGACATAATTGTTACACAATTGTTATAATTTTTTATTATAATTACACCAACAAAGGCCTAATAACACTAAACTTTTTATGAAGAAACCATTCTTAACGTAACATTTTATTTTGAGACATACTGCTCCTTAAGACTTTTATCTTCCTTCATGATTTGGTTAGGGAATACGTCTTAAAATTAAAACGTTTAGTAGCTCGCTATTTTTTGCATTTTAGATATTTATTGCTGAACTTTATACCATTATACTCCAACGTCGCGGCGAGGATTTGATTATCATTCCCATAAAGTATAAGCAAAAGCTATAACCCTTCCATGGTGAAAGTGCAGCACTGAAATTATATTATCTTGAGGCTTCCGTCGTAATATATCAGCACTTATCCAAAAGAAAATTATTTTTGACAACTGTAACAACGAGAGCTTCGTGGGAGCCTCAGGAAAACAAGTTAGTCATACTATCCTTCAATAAGGTCGTTGCTTTGGAAACTTCTTCAACAATCGCCGATGCATTAGTCTTTCTTGGAGGCAAGCTCATTTGCTTCCGTTTGCCACGTTAATAACCAATAGTGGAGTGATCACGCAACCATCAGCCAATAGAGAGCAACCTTCATTAATGTTTTTATAAAAGTTGACGTAAAAAAAAATATTCATTTTCTTATTTGAGGCATTTCCTCTTTGAGAAGTGCGAGCGTCGGCTAAGGTGAGTCTGAGAAGAGCTTTCTAAATTGGACTTATTAAAAATACGTGAACTGTCTCCATGTGCATCTTTTGCAGGTTTAAATAAGGCGATAGCTGAGAGGATAACGAGTTCTGTCATAAAATTAATATAGGAACATGATGTCTTTGTTACGTACAGAAGTAACCTATTTTTTACACTTGTTAGAGGAGTGAACGTTCTGAAGTAAATCCGACTTAAGAACATGGACCTGCGTGGTGGGAGTGCCCAGTTATCAAGACGAACTGTTTGGCTTTGCATTTTGAAACAAGAGCATTTTGAGTACACATTCGAGTCTAAAAAAATGGCAGACACATGGAATTTTTTCAGAAATAAATGTTTTATCTGGAAATTAAAACAACTGGAAATTATAAAAAACCGAACGGGTTGTTGGCATTTTCACCTTTATGCATCACCTTTGTCTTTTTCTTCTTTTTTCCCAGAATCGAGATGGGTATGAAGGAAATTATTGTAATTCTTTGTCTTATGCTCCTCTCCCTCTCAATGGAGGCGATACAACCCGGGGAGGCTGACGAAGGTAAACATAATTACATTCTAAAACCAAACTCGCATGGTAGGCGCTTTTCAAGCCTCAATCACCTCAAAAATTTGTATTTTACATTTCGTTTTACAAACAAATAAGTCATCGACAAAAAAATGAGACTTGAAGTTATTGTCCGCATTAAAATAAGAGGCCTTATGGGATAAAGTAATTTGTTAGAAGGACTTGAAAGAGAATGGTCTAGAGATGAAGTGGACTGAACTTGACAATTATCACTTTCCGCTTCTGCGGCTTTTAATTTGTTAATTAAGAAAGAAAACACGGCTCAAGCACGGGCTTAAGGAACATTTACGTCCATGCTCCCTCGAGACTGTATATGTTTTAGGATACAAGGGTCCGCAACCATATAACTGAAATATTTTGTAATCGGCTCCAATTTACTATAACTCAGTTGTATTTGACCTTTTTTTTACCTCGTTTTTCTTTCTGCTCATAAAGGAAAAAAATTAGACTTTCAATATTTGCCATCGAGAAAAGGCTGCTAAGAAAACATCTTCCTTCCTAATTCATTCAAACGCATATTTTACCTTTAGTGATATGTGGACGTAGCACCATAAGCTCGTTAATACTCTTTTTCTTGAAACCACAGTTTATTTCTTCAACATTGCGAAGCCAGGGCTTTTGGCAAAATTGTTTTGAAGAGTGTTACATACACAAATTAAACACTGAATTTATGATCACCTCTGTGACATAGAAAGTAACCATAACAACAATTTTACAAAATATATTCTTAATTTTTTTTTTTGCAAAAATATTCTTTATACGTTATTCTATATATTTCATTGCTGAATGTTATCCTAAGTTTATAGAAATACCTTTCTGTCTCTGAAAAAATGACAATAACAATAATTAATAATAATATTCTTTATTTCTCTATACATTATTCCGTATATTTCATTCCTGAATGTTACCTTGAGTCTATAGAGAGAGCCCTTTATTATCGTATGACCATTAGCCTTAACAAAATATTATTTTAAAATTATTCTATGAGTGTTTTTTGTGTGTGAGTTGGCTGTAACCAGTCTCGTATCCAATAAGCACGAATGGAATAATTGCTTTATTGACTATAACAGTTTTTTGTAATGTTGTGGGAGCTTACTAAATTTTTTTAACTCTCTTTTTTTTGAAAAAAAGAAATTAATTCAGAATAACTTGAGTCACATGACATTCGCAACGGTCTACGACCGAAGCTGAATGAAAACTTAACGTTTAACAATTTTCACAATACTTACGAGACAAGCTTTCGAGTGTGAATTGTGCAATTTATTTAAGTATTTGTTTAACTGAAACGGATAAAAAGAGGGAACGAAGACAGCTTTCGTTTTAATTTTAACGCAAAATTTGTGAGTTGCCTTAAAAATTCTGAAGGCACCTGGGTTTTTTAACTATTGTGGCAATGTTATACTTTTTCTGGACCATAACATGCCAATGTCAAGTGCAGATTCAATAGTGCTATATCGTACTTTGTGGCTTTTTCCTTTGTCATCGAGGTGAAAATTGACTAGGATTTGTTTTACTTTCTTTTCAATGCACGGGAGAAATTTTTACTTACATTCAAAAATAAGTTCAGCTTAACAACACTTGGCTGAGTCATTTGGTGTACGAGCTGATAACCGGAGTTGAGCATACCCAATCAGAACACACTTTAATAGCAAATGATATTCATAACATTCCATCTAATTCAAAACCAAGCTTCGTTATTTTTGTGAACAACTTTCCTAATTTAGTCCTCCCTTATTCTTGGCATGAAGCAATACACGCAATTAAAACTTCTCATGAAAGTTACTTTGCTATTCACGGTCAAACAGGCCTCTACTTTTAAAGTTTCAATACCAACAGTCGCATGATTTTTTTGCTCACTTCTTTTTAATCCAAGCAATGGTAGCGACCAAATTTGTTTGGTCATGTCATCAGAGAACATCACAACCTTAAATAGCTCGGCTATTCCTTTTCTTTGCAGAGGAACTGCAAACAATGTTAACAACTACCAGCGTAAACGATTCAGACGATGAAAACAATGTGGAGGAAGAGATGGAGACAATCTTGGGTCAAATCCAAACCCAGATTGAGAAGAAAAAGTTTGGAAAGAAGCAAAAAAAGAAGGTTTTAAAACTTCTCGATAAATTGTCGGCCATCGCTGACAATTGCGGGGGTAAGTAATTGCCAGATATTATGATATCTTGTAAATGCCACACTGACCACAAAAAATGGAACTTAAAATGACGATAAACCCTCGGAACGAAAATAAGAACGAAAAGAACACTACTGTAGCAAAGTGAGCCTCCTTATGAGTTATTTTACGGCGATGAGTCAGAAGCCATTTGTCTCTTCTTGCGGGAGCACTCTGTTGATTGATAATTTGAATAAGCAATAACGTTTTCTAAAGCATTTGCGCAAGCTATGAAAACCATATGCTACTGATAAAGTAGACATTTTTAGGCGTGAAGGATCCCAGTTTTGCCTCTTTTCTTTATTTGCAGATGTCCAGTCCGAAGTGAAAGAAGATATCAAACGTATCCAAGAGTTGCTTCAGTTAAAGAAGTTCGGAAAAAACAAAGAAGCCAGGGCAGAGGTTTTGGAGACGCTTAAGAATTTATACACAAAAGCTGGCATGTGCGTGGTAGGTCGATCAGTTTAATTTTCCATGCCTTACTAAATCAGCAGAAGTGCTAGGTCTACGGATTATTCCATGAAAAAGCTGTATCTTAACAAACAAATTACTTGACATTTTTCAGTCGTGCAAGGCGGTTACAGCACTTGGTCTAGCTGGGGAGGATGCAGTGCTACATGCGGTGGAGGAACCCAGAAGCGCACAAGAACCTGCACAAACCCACCACCATCGAACGGTGGAAAGACATGCCTGGAGCAAGGCCTGGGGCCGTCAGAAGAAGAACAGGAATGCAACACGTAGAACTGTCGTAAGGAGTGTTATAATAAGATGAAGCCCAGTCTTAAAGACGAGCTTTACATTACCTTTTTTGTAGGAAGTCATCATTCAATCCTAATTTAATCTAGAATTAGGACTTATAGACGTGAATGCAGCCTCTTCATAAGAGCCTGGTAAACGGCTGATAAGAAATTTCAGCTTAATTAGGGAGCGAGGATTCCATTTCCTTATGTTGTAAGTGAAAAGAAATACAGGCTACTTCAACGTTAGCGAGCGCAACGAGTAAATAAAAATCGTGCAAGCGAACTAACCAAGAAGTGATTTGCTTATTTTATACCTGTTGAGGTTTAGAACAAAATATGATTATGTGATTATGAATCAGGTCTAGCGAATCCAACTCACCACACCAACATGCAAAATGGCCACCTCGATAAATAATTTTTCAAATGATACGAAAATAGCACGAAATGGAAAATCAATTTGGAAGCTGTATTAAGTTCAGATAATGATTAGTTTAATTTTGCAATGCCTGTTTTCTGAACTCGAATCGCCCATTGAAATACGAATCGAAATGCTTTTTAATCAGAGTCAGAATTTAGAGATTTAGGTTTTTTTTAACAGTTGCTCTTCGGATACTACGAAATAATTGGCTATGTGATGAAAATTTTTATGACCAGACAATTGTTTGATATCTGTTGCTGGGATGTTGTTGTATGTCAAAGTTTGAATCATAGTTTTACGACAAAACATTTTCTCAGTAAAGCGACGTTCTATTCAGTTCTCTTTCTGGTATTTTCATTTCCTTGCTTTTGTATCAAGTCCTCTACCGAAGTTATCAATGTAAACCTTGAATTTTCCAGAGAAGAAGCAAAAGAGCAAGCCATAGCTCATCTTTTGATGTATGAGCCGTCAGTGAAGGTGCTAAAAGTCAAATGACTAGCGAAAAATTTCGTCCGCGGCCTGCGATTGGTCAAAATATTTATTTTTCACTCGAAAGAAATACCTTCCAAATAGTTAGATATCGCGCAGTTTATTACAAATGACTTTTATTCGAAAAATTTCCTCGGGGCAAATCTCTGTATGTATATGTAATAATGTGCAATCCTTTACATTTCATCCGATAACAAAAATATTGCAATCATATGGGAATATTTATGCTCAGTCGGATGTCAGAACTGTCTCGGAAGTCTCGGAGGCGAAAACCGAGAACCCCGCAATGAGTTCTGGCCCGTTATCTCATATGAACATATCGAAACTTTTTAAAAAGAAAGGAATGATCAGAGGAGTCTCAAAAATTATTTCTACTTGTTTTTAGCCGTAAATGGTGGATATAGCACTTGGTCCAACTGGGGACAGTGCACTGCCACCTGCGGCGGAGGAACTCAGAAGCGGACAAGAACCTGCACAAACCCACCACCATCCAACGGTGGAAAGACTTGCCTGGAGCTAAACCTAGGACCAACAGAAGAGGAGCAGGAATGCAACACTCAGAACTGCGGTAAGGAGTGTTCGTATAAATATGGGGTACTTTATGTATAATAATATAAGTATGTGGTTCAATGTAAATGTAAAAATTAGTTCCAAGATGAACTCAATTTTGTTTTTCACCTCCCATGAAACTCTGAATTTAGCCAAGATGAATCAGAGGACTACTTTTGCTATGAGGGGCTAATTGTATTCCTTATACGAGTTTCTTAACATGAGTTAATCCATAAAGTACAGCGTTAAGCCGTGTAAGACTTCATCATTATAGACCTTATCAGTAAGAAGCCTGGAAAAAGAGTATATCTGAGCTGACTTATTTGCATAAGGACAGTTAGTATTTTTACTAACTTTTTTTTTTTTAAACCCATTATATTTGCAAGATTAGCCGACTTGGGTAGTGATCATTTTAATTAGCCTTGTATTTCATATCATTTCACCTTAATCAATCTTACATAAATATATATATTCTATTTTCTTAGATATCTCCCATACGGGCCTTATTTTTGCGAAGGAAAAAGAATTTTGATTCATTCGAAAGAAATATATCAATATACCTGATATTTGTAAAACATTTTAAACGCTCAAGCAACATTTCACCTTACTCAAAGTCAATTACGAATCTGAGGGATGGGTCAAACTAAATAGAAATGGTAACAGGTTTTATGACACTTTGGCCTCAATAGGAGAAATTTAGAGGCTATTTTCTCTTCAGAAAACATCTTTTTTTTGCTGCTGCTGTTTGACTTTTCTTAGAATAGTCATTTCTGCAGGATCAAATGACTCTCCAGACTTAATTTCCGTTCATGTATTTTTAATTGCGCTGTTTTATTGCAGCCTGTCCTTCCGGTTGGCCTACAAATGGAGTATCATGTTTTTACATCGACCCAAGCCGAACCCCAGACAGGTCCACTGCTCAGCAGAAATGCCTTGGCATGGGAGCAAACTTACCCACCATTAAATCCGCTGGGGAGAGAGACTTCATTTTCAACCTGTTAAAAAACAACCCAGGGATATCTAACGAGGGAGTGTGGCTGGGGCTTAATCGAAGAGGCTCTAGCTTTTACTGGATTGATAATAGCTATGCTGGTTATCAGGTGTGGGGTCACGGAGAGCCAAACAACTTTGGAGGGCACGAAAATTGTGCCCAAATGTATAAAGGCGGGGGGAATGCAGGAAAGTGGAATGATAATCCATGCAGCGGCTATGGAGCAGCTCCCTCTATTCTTTGTCAAAAACCCGTGGCACACTGATGAAAGAGCTGATTTTCTTTTACCAACCGTAGAAATCAAAAAGTAATAGTATACATTTGCAACTGATTGGTTGTTGGGAATTGACTGCCAACTAATGCTTGTATAATCACTATATTAATTCAATACAAAAGCTAAATTAAAGCTGAAATAGTTTACCGATGTTTTTAGACATTATTCTGTGGAAATTAAGTAAATGAATACAGTGACTTTTGAAGGAAGTAAAAGTAATCTAGCTTGTTCTTGGGCTTTTTGGCCGGTGGGGAAGATACTAACTGGGTACTTCAACCATTCTACCCGCAGTTGCTTGTTGGGGACCGACAAAGCTTGGAAATGTGAATTATGCTTGGAACAATGATTAAAAAGTTCAAATATGGGTGGAAAACCGATACACACTCTGGGAAGAAATTGGTTTTTATCATTACCTGCCGACCACGGAAGGTCTAACCTGACCGCAACGTTCCACCATTCTAGATACTTAATCAGTAATATACCTTTCTCACTATCCATGAAAAAGCTTTGTTTAAAAAAAATCCCTTTCTTCCAGTAAAGCGTGGATAGCTTCCATGACAAGGTGATAAGGTCGAATTCAAATGCAAAAATTACCTCCACGTGTAGCTCAATACCCTTGTCCTTGTCCCTGTCCTTGTCCTTGTCCTTGTCCCTGTCCCTGTCCTTGTCCTCATCCTTATCCCTGTCCTTGTCTTTGTCCTAATCCCTGTCCTCTTCCTTATCCTTGTCATTATCATTATCCTTGTCCTTGACCTTGTCCTTGTCCTTTTCCTTTGCCCTGTCCCTGTCCCTGTCCCTGTCCCTGTCCCTGTCCCTGTCCCTGTCCCTTCCCTTTCCCTTTCCCTGTCCCTGTCCCTGTCCCTGTCCCTGTCCCTGTCCCTGTCCCTGTCCCTGTCCTTGTCATTGCCATTGTCATTTTCCTTGTCATTGCCATTGTCGTTTTCCTTGTCCTGGTTCTTCTCCTTGTCCCTGCCCTTCTCCTTGTTTCTTGTCCTTGTCTTTGTCGTGGTTCTTACCCTTCTCCTTGCCCCTGTCATTGTCCTTTTTATTGACCATGTCTTTGTTCTTTTCATTATCCTTGTCATTTTCCTTGTCCTTGTCCTCGTCCTTATCCTTGTTTTTGTCCTTGTCCTTGTTCTTGTTTTTGTCCTGTTCCTTGTTCTTGTTCTTATCCTTGTCCTTGTTCTTGTTCTTATCCTTGTCCTTGTTCTTGCCCTTTTCCTTGTTTTTGTCCTTGCCCTTGTTCTTGTCCTTGTAATAGTGATGGTCCTTGTCCTTATTCTTGTTATTCTCCTTGTTCTTGTCCTTTTTACTTGTCGTTGTTATTGTCATTGTCCTTATGCTTTTCCTCGTCCTTGTCCTTGTCATTGCCCTTGTTCTTGTCCTTCTCCTTGTTCTGGTCCTTGTCCTTATTCTTGTTATTCTCCTTGTTCTTGTCCTTTTTACTTGTCGTTGTTAATGTCATTGTCCTTGTACCTTTCCTTGTCCTTGTCCTTGTCCTTGTTATTGTCCTTGTTCTTGTCCCTGTCCTTTCCATTGTCCTTGTGCTTTTCCTTGGCCATGTCCTTTTCATGGTCATTGGCATGGTCTTTGCCCTTGTCATTGTCCTTGTTCTTTTTATTGTCATGCTCCTTGTCATTGGCCTCGTCTTTGTCTTTGCTATTTTCCTTGTCCTTGTCCTTGTTCTTTTCTTTGTCTTTTTTCTTGTCCTTGTTTTTTTCCTTTTCCTTGTCCTTGTCATTATCCTTTTCCCTGTCCTTGTCGTTGTCCTTGTTCATGTTCATGTCCTTGTCATTGTCATTGCCATTATTCTTGTCCTTGTCATTGTCATTATCCTATTCCTTGTCCTTTTCCTCGTCCTTGACCTTTCCTTTGTATTTTTCCTTTTCCTTGTCCTTGTCTTTGTCCTTGTTCTTGTTCTTGTCCTTTTCCTCGTCCTCGTCCTCGCCTTCGTCGTCCTTCTCGTCCTTGTTCTCGTCTTCGTCCTCGTCCTTGTACTCGTCCTCTTCCTCGTCCTCGTCCTCTTCCTCGTCCTCGTCCTCTTCCTCGTCCTCGTCCTCTTCCTCGTCCTCGTCCTCGTCCTCGTCCTCGTCCTCGTCTTCGCCCTCTTCCTCTTCCTCTTCCCCTTCCTCTTCCTCTTCCCCTTCCTCTACCTCTTCCTCTTCCTCTTCCTCTTCCTCTTCCTCTTCCTCTTCCTCTTCCTCTTCCTCTTCCTCTTCCTCTTCCTCTTCCTCTTCCTCTTCCTCTTCCCCTTCCTCTTCCTCGTCTTCGTCCTTATCCTCGTACTCGTACTCGTCCTTGTCCTTACTCTTGTCTTGATCATCAGCACCACTGGTTAAGACTTGTTGAGACAGGAATTTCTTTAGAGCACCACAAGTGATACAGTAAAATAGCACAGAAAGTAAACACGCTCCAGAGCCAAGAATGAGGAAAGCAAGAGAAAGTATTTTGAATCCAAAGCATTGATTCCGTGGCTCACTTTTAGCCTCGTTTATTCCTTATGGAAGATACGTTATCAAGATGTCAGCTGAAACAGAAGTAAACATTATGCCCCTGGTTGAGATAGCTTCACCGTCTCAAACCTGCATGGCAGTGGTCTTAAAAGAAGTTAACTTCCTAAAGAAATTGCCGAATCGGGACTTTCTTGCAACTGTTAAAAGAACGCAAAATACAGAGACAAAAAGTCGTGTTGAGTGCGATTAACAAGCGCCGTTAACTGAACAAAATAAACGAGTATATATTGTCTTCACAAAAAATAGCAGCAAAGCCCACCACAGCATTGAAAGAAAACTCAGCAATTACTATGCAACAAAGAATACTCGCAGGAATGATCAGTTGTCTGAAATATCAAGATGCGTGCACCAAAGTTTTTAAACTTGCATCGCCATAGTACAAAGTCTGCATATTTGGACGGCTTGTTTATTGACACTTTCTTGGTCTTGAGTTGAATCATTTGACGAAACACCAGTTATGGTAGTTTGTAATGGACATGGGCGATCATGTCGTCGAACTCAATCTCAGGAGCTGCTTTAATCAGTTTCACTTTGAAAGTAACGCTTTGCTCCTGCGCCCTAGGATACACAGACAACTTTTGAATTTGATTCACTCACTTTCGTCTGTTTTTTTTTACCTTTGGATTCTTAACACCTCGAAAAATCAATTGCCCTCTTTCAAAACTGGCAAGTTTATATAAACTGGTTTCTTTCTCTTTCGAAAAAGCAACCAAGATTCATTCCGTCGTTCATTGTAGGGAAAGTGAGTTTTTCCATAAAAAAGACAGCTTGTTGAAATCAGTTGGTTTTTTTTTCCGAAAAAATGGTAATAGAGATTCATTTGACGGTTCATTCGTAAACAACAATTTTTGAAAAAACTGATTAATTCAACCAAATTAGTTTCTTTTTTCAATCAAATTCAGGAGTCAAGTAATAATATAGGAATGATTTATCCTATGGTGTAAAAATTTGCCAGACTGAACCAAATTAGTTTCTTTTGTTTCAAAAAAAGCAATTAGGTTTCATTTGATTGTTCAGTCATTGAAATATGGTTGATTTCTATTAAGAAAGGAAATTATTTTTTTTGATGAAATAGCTGCATTTGTTTTTGAAATAAAAATGCCAACAACTGTTATAAAGTGCAAAATGAAAACTAATGAAAGTAAAAACCCCATATGTAAGTTTTGAAGAAATTAGTGTCATCGTTCCTTCTTCAGAAGAAAATGATTATATGTACCCTCTTTGTATAATATTTACCGTAGTTCATTAGTTATTTTATCTTCAACGCAAAAGGCCTCTTGAACATGTCGCCAGGGCAGCACTGTGCACTACTTTTTAAGGCCATATGTAAAATTTATACGTTACCCTTTCCACTTGTTACTTCTGTCACCTAGGTGAAACTCAATAGATATCAGAGAAACATTGAAAAAGGGAAAGAAATCTTCATTGTGTTGTTGTAAAACAGGTGGAACATTTCAATATTATTCTATCCGGACACAAAATTGTTGGTCATAAAATGGAGGTGATTGAAATTAATTAAAAGCGGGAATTGAATGTATGATTTTCACTCAATCAAATTCAGGAGTCAAGTAATAATATAGAAATGATTTATACTATGCTGTAAAAATTTGCCAGATTGACGAGGACCCCGTTGATCCAAAGATGAAACATCAGCCTCAATAACTTCGGAAATTAAGGAATTGTATTTCTGTCTACAGTCTGAAAGTACTCGTAATATCAAAATATCTTTTTCCTTTTGTAGACCACACTTTAGACGTTTAAACAGCATGAAATCCTTTAGAACCTGAAAACGGCACCATCAACATTTCTCCGGCACGAATTCACTAGGATATTCCTCTTTCTAGATACATTGCTGATAAATGGTGAGGAGCCATGAAGAGCTTCCCACCAAGAAGTATTCGTGGGAGATGTTTTTACCTGAAGCTTGAAATTGCTTTGCTGTATGAATGCACGGAATATTAGTTTGTCCATGATTCTTTAACAGGCTTTTTCTTTCCAAAGTGATAACTGGTTGTACCTCTCTTTGAGACACTTTCCTCAAAAGGTAAACTGGTGAATAACCTATTATTTTGAAAAAGGGGCCATCTCTAATGAAAGAAATATGCGATGCCTTTGCAGCAGGGTCCCTGTCGCGACACGAATTTTATTAATTTCCATCGTTCGGTCGGTATAAAAGGCTGTGGAGTTCTTAGAGAATTACATAATCAAGACTTGATTTTAATCGAGAATGTTCTAGTTTTCTGAAGTTAGTTTTATTGTTTGTCTTGATTTTGAATCACATTTGGGAAATATGCCAATATTTCATGACGAATGTTCTGAATCAACTCAAGTAAGGATAACAAGTCACTCTCACTCACTGTTCGGCTTACGATGATGATCAAGTATCGATATTCATTTGGAAAATTTACCGCATCATTTTCAGTGCAACTTGGTTTACAGAAGAACGACTGCATTTTTCAAACTAACAAAATGGTACGAGCCCGTGTGGCAATTTGTAGTCTAAAATTAGGCGCTTCCTCCCACGAGTTATTATGTGATCACTTATTAACAATGTAATATATGAAAGAAGGGAAGAAACAAAATCAAAACAGGTGAGGTTTTAAAGCATGCGCTTTAATTTTGCATATGAAGCTTATTCCAATAATTGATTGAAAGAAGTCACAATATTTTTCCAATAAAAACTTTTGCAAGACCATCATTAAAAAGTGATTCAACCATAAACTTGGGAGTAAAAGGGATACATTTCTACAGAAACTGTGGTGCTGCGTCGGTGGAAGAGTATAACAGGGTAATTTAGTATTATCCACCGAGTTGATAACGTAAATTGGCCACCGTAAAGAGTTTCAAAGCCGACGTCTCGAGCGTCAGCCTTTCGCTCTGACGAAGGGCCAACGCTCGAGACGGCAGCTAAACTCTTAAAGGCAGCCAATTTACGTTATCATTTCAGTTTATAATGCTTAATTAACCTGTAAACTTGGGAGGCCTGCTTGTAATTTACACTCGTGCTACAAATTTGCATCCGTTTCACATGAGAACTAATTTCATTTCTAGCCAATCAGAACTGATTGATTTTTTCATGTATATCATAATGTTTGAACAGCTTCAATACGCACTGAAGAATTGCCCGAATGAAGTGATTGGAATTTTGTACTGATATGATCATCAACTGATTCTGAAAAGAATCCTTTGGTAGAAATTGTTTGTCTCTTCTCAATAACCCTGTTACTGGACTCGGCTCTCTCTGTTGTACTACTTTTCCTTTTTAAATCATCGCTTTGGCAGGGACAACATAAATGCAAAGTAGGAGACAAGCACTCCGACAATCTGGAACAAGAAATATGTCATTAGCAAAGAGAAAAACGAAATGGCTCGTAATTAGAAAAGAAGACCAAAAAATGTTATAGAATTAAATGCATCATCTGTAGTTAAAAATCTTCTTTAACTGTTCTGTTCAGTGAGAAGAGTAAAAGGACCGTCAAGTGAGGTAGCAGAGAACTTACTGTTAGAGACATTGATTGATCACCGCCAGTCCACCAATAGAGAGACCCTTTGATTCACCTTGCAGTTCCAGCATAAACATCACCAACTAAAATATGAGTCCAGAAAGTTTGTCCCTTGAAAGATTCCGGTCTTACTTATCTAATTCACTTACTTTATTATTTCCTTATATTTGGCTTGGATAGATCACATCTATAATGAACAGGTCGGTTATGAAACTACAAGCAAGCAAAGGCGTACAGAGAGACACAGAGAAAGCTGAGCGGAGATCCATCGACATCGTATTTATATGTGAAAGCATTGTTATTGTAGGCGTAAATCACCTTTACTCCCTCGTCTTTTGATACTGGAAATGCCTCTAAATCCTTTTGAAAGCCGTGAATCTGGAGTGATTGGGTAAACAAATAGGTAAAGAAAGAAGAGAAACAATTAAAAGATTATAGAGCTGAATTCAGTCTTAAGGCAAGATATAGGATAAGCATTAATAAGACATTTTGGTGAATTTTTAGTGAAGCTAAATAACATATTTACGCAAACTTTAGAAATAATATTAATAGGGCTACTAGCTACCACTCTATCTTCACTATGACTAAAATCTCCTAAAGAAATTCCTTTACCTGTTCATTGACCTTTGAACCAAATACTATGATGATTGCCAGGGAACACGCAGCAAACAGTAGAAAAAAAAGGGTACTGATAAGGGAGATATATTTATCTCCAGGAGGTAAGTTGACCACTTGATAAAAGTTGAAGCAAATTAGAGGAAGATACACAGAAACCATCTCAAACACAGGAAGGCGAAGCATTTTGTCCGCAAAGCTAACCACCTCACAAAGCTTCTGATGCTCCATCTTAAAAGCTATTAGATCCAAAGTAATTGGATGCAGGGGCGATATTCTTTGGTGTAAGTCTTCAAACAATGCTTCCAGAATCCAGCAAGTTATGCAGTAAAAAAGAACTGGCAGTAACCACGCTCCACAGCCAACAATGAGGAAAACGACGGAGACTATTTCAAATCCAAACCACTGACTCCAGGGCTTACCGTGAGCCATGTTTATTCCCAGCAGAAGGTATACCATCAAACTTCCAGCCGTGGAGAAAATGAAGACGAATCCAAACACAATGATGCCTCTGGTTGACTTGGTTTTTACCTTTTCTAAACTGGCAGTGGTCTTGATAGAACATAACTTCATGAGGAAATAGCCAAATCTGGACTTTCTTGTGTCGGTGAAGGGAACACAAAGTACAAGTAGACAAAGTGTTGCGTTGAGTGCTATTAATACGCACCATAAGCCTAACAAGATGAAAGTGTACATATCATCTCCACAAAAAATAGCAACAAAGGCCATCACAGCATCGAACCAGAACCCAACAACCATAACACAACAATTAATACTCGCAAGAATGCTTGGTTGTCTGTAATAACCAGAGGTATGAGCCAAACGTTTCAAACTTGTATCTCCAAGATACAAGCCGAACAGCCTCATAAGTTTTAACACCGGACTGTATATTTCATCGATAACTTTCAGCAGTGGTTTGCTGAAATCTTTTGGGTCTTCACGTGGATCCTCCGACAAAACATCAGCAGGTTGTATTGAATGCGGGGCAATCATGTCGTCGAACGCAACGACAAATTAAAGCTGCTATGAGGTTTCCTCTGAAAGTCACGCTTCCGAGCTGCTTTGACACAATTTAAACCTAACTCCTATGCTGATTCACATCTGTCACCTAATTATTCTTATTAAGTTTTGCAGGCTTTGGAAAAATTAATAGCTTTATTTGAATGCATTTGCGTTTTTACACTGTTGGAGATCGTTATGGATTCCTTTGATCGGTGAACTTTTTACTGGCGTTCAAGTGCAAATTTATTAAAACATTCATTTAAAACAAATAATGACATGTGAATAATGATTTTTTTGTCAAGCAAACTCAATTGTTGACGAAAATAGAGATAAGAGTGATAAGAGAATAAGAACAATAAAACGACGCTCGTGTTTATTTTCGGTTCCAAAACTATGTCATATGAACACAACGGGGTTTCTTAAATTGCAAATTGCACTTTTAATTTATTCAATTGAGCTGTTAATTTGGCTACAGTACTGAGAATTAATCTTTTAAAAGTATTTTCATCAAATGACTGCTGTTAATCAAGTTTTTAAAAAGAACAAACAAAATTGGGAAATGCGTGAAAAGTCTTATTCAAGGAAGCGTTAGCTCTGCGGTAAATGTTTATGCGTCAATTCCTACATACTAAATGACCACGCATTTCTTATTTCTGAACGTTATTAAACTTTTCGTTGTAATAATAACAATGACGAGAAAGATCATAAAAGTAATGATGTAATGGTAATGATGAAAATAACTTTAAAAAAAAACGGGGACGGGGACGAAGACGAAGACGAGGACGAGGACGAGGACGAGGACAAGGACGAGGACAAGGACAGGAAAAAGGACAAGGAAAAGGTCAACGACAAGGACAAGGACGGGAACAAGGGTAGAGACAAGGACAAGGACAAGGACAAGGACAAGGACAAGGACAAGGACAAGAACAAGAACAAGGACAAGGACAAGGACAAGGACAAGGACAAGGACAAGGACAAGGACAAGAGACAAGGACAAGGACAAGGACAAGGACAAGGACAAGGACAAGGACAAGGACAAGGACAAGGACAAGGACAAGGACAAGGACAAGGACAAGGACAAGGACAAGAACAAGGACAAGGACAAGGACAAGAACAAGGACAAGGACAAGGACAAGGACAAGGACAAGGACAAGGACAAGGACAAGGACAAGGACAAGGACAAGGACAAGGACAAGGACAAGGACAAGGACAAGGACAAGGACAAGGACAAGGACAGGGACAAGGACAAGACCAAGGACAAGAACAATAACAGGGACAAGGTCAAGGAAAAGGACAAGGGCAAGGAAAACGACACGAACGAAGACAAGGAAAGGACAAGAACGAGGACAAGGACAAGAGCAAGGACAAATACAACAACACGGATGAGGACAAGGACAAGGACAACAACACGAATGAGGAGAAGGAAAGGACAAGGACAAGAAGGACGAAGACAAGGGCAAAAACACGGATGAGGACAAGCACAAGGACAACAACACGAATGAGGACAAGGACAAGGACAAGGACAAGGACAGGGACAGGGACAGGGACGGGGAAACGGACAGAGAAAAGGACAAGGACAAGGACAGAGACAGGGACAGGGACAGGAAAAAGGAAAAGGACAACAGCACGAATGAGGACAAAACAAGGACAAGAAAAAGGAGGAGAACAAAGTCAAGGACAAGGACATGGACGAAGAGAAGTTAAAGGACAAGGACAAGAACAAGAACAAGGAGAGGGATAAGGTCAAGGACCAGGAGCAGGACGTGGACAAGGAAAAGAGAAACGACAACGAGAAAGACAGGAATAAGAACAAGGAGACACAAAAGCAGAAGCACAAGGATAAGAATAAGGACGAGGACAAGGACAAGGACAAGGACAAGGACAACAACATGAGTGAGGACAAGGACAAGAGCAATAACACGAATAACAACAAGGTTAAAAAGAAAGGGACAAGGTTAAAGACAGGGAATAAGAACAACGAGACACAAAAGCAGAAGCACGAAGACAAGAACAGGGACAAGGAAAAGGACAAGGGCAAGGACAACAACGAGAGTGAGGACAAGGAAAAGAACAACAGCACAAATGAGGACAAGGACAAGGACAAGGACATGAAAGACAAGAACAAGGACAAGGACATGGACAAGGGAAAGGAAAAGGAAAAGGAAAAGGAAAAAGAAAAGGAAAAGGAAAAGGACAGGGACTAAGACAAGGACAAGGACGGGGACAAGGACAAGGACAAGAACGGGGACAAGGACAAGGACAGGGACAGGGACAGGGACAGGGACAGGGACAGGGACAGGGACAGGGACAGGGACAGGGACAGGGACAGGGACAGGGACAGGGACATGGACATGGACATGGACATGGACATGGACATGGACATGGACAAGGGCAAGGGAAAGGGAAAGGGAAAGGGAAATGAAAAGGAAAAGGACTGGGACAGGGACTGGGGCAAGGACAAGAACAGGGACAAGGAGAAGTACAGGGACAAGAACAGGGACAAGGACAAGGACAAGGACAAGGACAAGGACAAGGACAAGGACAAGGACAAGGAAAGGACAAGGAAAAGGAAAAGGACAAGTACAAGGACAAGGACAAGGACAAGGAGAAGGACAAGGACAAGGACAAGGACATGGACATGGACAAGGACAAGTACAAGGACAATGACAAGAAACTGGACAAGTACAAGGACAAGTACAAGGACAAGAACAGGGACAAAGACAAGGACAAGGACAAGGACAAGGACAAGGACAAGTTCAAGTTCAAGTACAAGTACAAGGACAAGGACAAGGACAAGGACATGGACAAGGGAAAGGAAAAGGAAAAGGAAAAGGAAAAGGAAAAGGAAAAGGACAGGGACAGGGACTGGGACATGGACAAGTACAAGGACAAGAACAAGGACAAGGACAATTTTTGATAATTTGAAGATATTTTTACTTAGTTAACGTTTCTATCTATTTTATTTTTTTACTTTACCATTATCATTTACGCTTACAGATGTAAGCTTATTTTGACAACATTCAAGCTAGAATAAACTGTCCACTGCCTCCTTGTCATAAATTGGAATGGAAGCCACATTCGATATCTTGTTAGGTTTAACTTAATACAGTTCAGTGGCGATCTCTATAAAAGGGCGGTCAAGGGCATTTCGCATAGAAAAAAGTTTTGCCTCAAACATTACCCATTACACTATCTTTGGTAGTAAGTAAATAAAACTTCATTGGTTTTTAGAAATGCGTTAAGAAAAAACTTCGAGAGTTCTCAATGATCAAAGCTGCAAAAGGCGTCGGCGATGCTGTCAATGCATGCAGTGAAAACTTGCACTGGATCTTGGACATTCCTTCTCGCTGATCTTAAGTCCTGTATTTCTCTGCTCCCATCAAGTGCAAACACGCTGATAGCGTGGAAGAAGTAGGGTAGAATTGCGAGCAAACAATGACGTTATTGCTGCCACCATTCAGGTGGGAGAAGTACACAATTGAATTATGTGACTAAGTCACTGGTCAGAGTGAATTTCAGGTTGTGAGAAGGGAAAAGGAAAAGGAAAAGGACAGGGACAGGGACTGGGACAAGGACAAGTACAAGGACAAGGACAAGGACAAGGACAAGGACAAGGACAAGGACATGGACAAGGGAAAAAGGAAAAGGAAAAGGACAGGGACAGGGACTGGGACTGGGACTGGGATAAGGACAAGGACAAGGACAAGGACAAGGATAAGTACAAGTACAAGGACAAGGACAAGGACAAGGACAGGGACAAGGACAGGGACAGGGACAGGGACAGGGACAGGAACAGGACAGGGACAGGAACAGGAACAGGAACAGGGACAGGGACAGGGACAGGGACAGGAACAGGGACAGGGACAGGGACAAGGACAAGGACAGGGACAAGGACAAGGACAAGGACAAGGACAAGGACAAGGACAGGGACAGGGACAGGGACAAGGACGAGCACAATGACAAGGGCAACGGCAAGGACAAGGACAAGAACAAGGACAAGAAAAAGGAGGGGGACAAAGTCAAAGACAAGACAACAGGAACAAGGACAAGGACAAGGACAGGGACAGGGACAGGGACAGGGACAGGGACAGGGACAGGGACAGGGACAGGGACAAGGACAGGGACAACAGGGACATGGACATGGACATGGACAAGGACAAGGAAAGGACAAGGGAAAGGAAAAGGAAAAGGAAAAGGACAGGGACAGGGACAGGGACTGGGATAAGGACAAGGACAAGGACAAGGACAGGGATAAGTACAAGGACAAGGACAAGAACAGGGACAAGGACAAGGACAAGGACAGGGACAGGGACAGGGACAAGGACAAGGACAAGGACAAGGACAAGGACAAGGACAAGGACAAGGACAAGGACAAGGACAAGGACAAGGACAAGGACAAGGACAGGGACAGGGACAGGGACAGGGACAAGGACAAGGACAAGGATAAGGATAAGGACAAGGACAAGGACAACGACAAGTGTAAGTACAAGTACAAGTACAAGCACAAAGACAAGGAGGGGGACAGGGACAAGACAAGGACAAGGACAAGGACAGGGACAGGGACAGGGACAGGAAAAGGACAAGGACAGGGACAGGGACAAGGACAGGGACAAGGACAAGGACAGGGACAGGGACAGGGACAAGGACAAGGATAAGGATAAGGATAAGGACAAGGACAAGGACAAGGACAACGACAAGTATAAGTACAAGTACAAGTACAAGTACAAGCACAAAGACAAGGAGGGGGACAGGGACAAGACAAGGACAAGGACAGGGACAGGGACAGGGACAGGGACAGGGACAGGGACAGGGACAGGGACAGGGACAGGGACAGGGACAGGGACAAGGACAAGGACAAGGACAGGGACAAGGACATGGACAAGGACAAGGACAAGGACAGGGACAGGGACAGGGACAGGGACAGGGACAGGGAAAAGGACAAGGACAGGGACAGGGACAAGGACATGGACAAGGACAAGGACAAGGACAGGGACAGGGACAGGGACAGAGACAGGGACAGGGACAGGGATAGGGACAAGGATGAGGACAATGACAAGGGCAAGGACAAGGACAAGGACAAGAACAAGAACAAGGACAATAAAAAGGAGGGGGACAAAGTCAAAGACAAGGAGATGGAGAAAGAGAAGTTTAAGGACATGGAGAAGAACAAAGAGACGGACAAGGTCAAGGACCAGGAGCAGGATGTGGACAAGGAAAAGGAAAAGGGAAAGGACAAGGAGAAAGAGAGGGATAAGAAAAAGGAAAAACAGAAGCACAAGCACAAGGATATGGACAAGGACAAGGACAAGGACATGGGCAAGGACGAGGACGAGGACGAGGACTAGGACGAGGACGAGGTGGAGATCGAGGGCGAGGGCGAGGACAAGGACTAGGAGAAGAACAGCGATTTAGAGATCGAACAAAATCTTGGATTATCACTGATTTATTTTATTACTTGCAGCAATCATTCCTAAAATTGTCACTACTATTCTCGAGACAGGCGTCAATAGAATTTTCATCGCAGGGATCACTGAAGATGTCATTGAAGGTTTGCTTTTCGATGTCTACAAGACAGAAGGTTATAATTTAAGATCAAGTTTGGAGAGTTATTTTTCCCTGAAATGTAACTCCAACCGCTCCGACAAAATAAGTAGCGATCTCTGTAAGAGCGGTCCAGGCAATTTCACGATGAAAAGCATTATTGCCTTAAACTTTGACCATTAAACTATCTTTGGTAGTAAGTAAATAAAGCCGCATTAATTTCTTTATAAAAAACTATGACAGCTCTCAATAATCAAAGCTGCAAAAGGCCCTTTTTTGACCTCTTGCGACATCGAAAATTTCAAGTTGACAAGCTCGCTCCTCTTAACACAGTGCATGCAGTAAGAATTGTTTGTTTTCCTTAATTTTGTGATATCTAAGGAATTTTAAAAAGATTTCAATTTTGGTACGTGTTTATTCAGAGCTTCGCCATAATTTATTTAAAAAACACCCGTTAGACAGCTTTCTGGAATTGGTCAAAAGTACTCTTTCTTTCTTGGGTGACGTTTCTCAAGTCCAGACTGGAAAATGAAAAAATCCGGTTGACTTTTTCTGATAAGATGATCAAAAACATAGAAATGTAAAAACATATTGTAATTATTGATTTCCTTTGCCGTAGTGACTTCAAACTTTTGGTTATTTTGCTAACGTGACAGCAGAATTATGCAAATTAGTCTGTTGAGCAAATTCCGACCGTTCTATATTGGTGGCTTCATAAATCTTAGATTTTAACCATTTTTAAAAGAAAAGATAATAAGGTAGAGCTTTTAGAACACACTGATTGACACTGATTGATACTCTAAACATTTTAAACGGTTAAAATCTGGCAAATGATTCTGTCTCGTATCTAATATCATATTGATCAGCGTTCGGTCAACGTTTTAGTGAGAAAGTCTTTTTGAAGAATTGGTTTCTGTTCTTTCATATTTGAGTTTAGAGAGCTTAAGCTATTCAAGCCTGAATGAACATTTCAGAACCAAACTACAAGATTTTGTTCAGCATGACCGACGATAACAGTATTAGACTCAACAAGCAGTTCCTCCTTTTCGGCGAAGTGCGTTGCGCGAGTCGAAAAATTCACGGAAGAAAAAGTTAATGTTAGTGCCTCACTTCAAGAGCTTCGGTTTTTTATTTTTTTTTCTGACTCGCGAGACGGATTTCGCCGAAAAGGAGGGACTACTTGTAATCTATAACGGCACAACCTGAAATTCACTTTGATCAGTGACTTAGTCACATAATTCAATTGTGTACTTCTCCCACCTGAATGGTGGCAGCAATAACGTCATTGTTTGCTCGCAATTCTACCCTACTTCTTCCACGCTATCAGCGTGTTTGCACTTGATGGGAGCAGAGAAATACAGGACTTAAGATCAGCGAGAAGGAATGTCCAAGATCCAGTGCAAGTTTTCACTGCATGCATTGACAGCATCGCCGACGCCTTTTGCAGCTTTGATCATTGAGAACTCTCGAAGTTTTTTCTTAACGCATTTCTAAAAACCAATGAAGTTTTATTTACTTACTACCAAAGATAGTGTAATGGGTAATGTTTGAAGCAAAACGTTTTTCTATGCGAAATGCCCTCGACCGCCCTTTTATAGAGATCGCCACTGAACTGTATTAAGTTAAACCTAACAAGATATCGAATTTGGCTTCCATTCCAATTTATGACAAGGAGGCAGTGGACAGTTTATTCTAGCTTGAATGTGGTCAAAATAAGCTTACATCTGTTAGCGTAAATGATAATGGTAGAGTAAAAAAATAAAATAGATAGAAACGTTAACTAAGTAAAAATATCTTCAAATTATCAAAAATTGTCAAATACAAAGTGACCCGGAATTGTCCAAGTAACAGATTACAGTTATTCTTTGCTTCATTAGTCAGACATCTTTAATTTTCTGTACAGCTTTGCCATGATAATAACCCTCTCAAGCCCAATTAGGTGACTATTCAAGCAGGCATTTCTTTCATGCTGGTTGATGCACCCAGTTTTGCTGAAGAGCTTCAGAAAATCACTGAAAAATATCTTATCTAATCTATTGTGTCCAAAATGTCACCAAAGCCACGAAGAAGCCTTGAGCAGGATTACCTTTCCTCAAACTTAAAAGCCAATCAATGCACCCTTATTTAAATGAAAGGGAAGAGATTTCTTGGAAAGAAAAGAGAGGAAATTACGAGGCGTTGTAAATTTTGGTATAGCAACTCAACGGCGATTTATTTAATCACCCAGAGGGAGTGGCTTTCAATAAATATTCAATGAAGAATGAAATGAAAAATAACCGATGAACGCTTCAACATTATAATTCGATAAAATAAACCTGAATTTATGCATTTTCAAACTATTTTTTACTGATCTAGCCCTAGTTTGCATCATATGTTGGCATATGTTGGATAGATGATTCTTTGTTTCTTAGCCTCACAACTCTCCTACCCATTTAATCTACTCAAGTATGTTAGAGAATCTTTACTTAAAGTCGGACCTCCACTAAGAGTGACCTCTCAACAGCAGCCACTTCTTTTTCTTTTGCCATTCGGACATCGCTCCCTTAACAAACCTATTTACCAACGCAAACGATTTCTCTTAAGATGTTGAGGGAACCCATGTTACTTAAAGGTCGTTTAGAGCACTTTGCAATCTTTTTCAGGTAATCTGCAATATTTTTTCATTTAGAAATTCCTTTATTTTCTTGGATTACCTGAAATAGATTGTAGAGAGCTCTAAATGACCGTTAGGTAAAATGAGCTCCTTTGTCATCTTAACTCTTTACACTCTAAAATTAATATGCATATTCTCCATACTAATCTCTTTACATTTCCTAAGGTGCTGACAAGGAGAATTAGTTTAACAATCAAGAGTTTCTCAAATTTGTGATCACTTCCTTTATTCTCATGACCTTAATGTGTGATTCAGGGGTGATATTGTAAGGAGAATTTACATGCAAGTCACTCTTAGGGGTCAAAGGGTCAACATAAAATTGTTGCGTTGGTAAAAAGGTTCATTAAGGGAGGAATGTCCGCTTGTTTTCGGACATCATTAGAAATCGCTATTTTCTAATAATTTTCCCTCCACTTAAAAAACATTCTTAATGAAAAATCTTGCTGTATGAACACACACACTACTTAATCAGATCAATTTGCATTAGATATTCTTTCACAACAACGAAGGATTTTATTAATTTTCCATTGTTTTCGGCCATTTAAAAGACCTGCTTTTCTCAAAGAATTATTCCTCTATTAAAAGACATTCGCAATAAAAACCCTTTTGTTTTGCTAACATCTACACAAACTAAATTAGGTTAATATGTATTTCATATTTGTATCACAACAATTAGGGTTTTCTCTATTAGAATTTAGTATGCCTGTTTTTTTTTTACATATGACAACTATTCGCTCAGTGTGATAAAAATCAACAACGTTATACAACGACTTGTAACTTAATATATTTTCTCTCCACGAAATCTCTTCTTTGAGGCTGGATTGCTTGAAGACTTGGGGAAGGAAAGTGATGCTTCAGGGCTTCTTCAAAGATTTGGTGACAACTTGGACATCTTAGTGTAGAAAAGCTATTTTCAGAGATTTTCTTGGAAGCTCTTAAGCAAAATTAAGTTCATCAACCAGTGGAAAAGAAATGCCAGCTTGAATAGTCACCTAATTGGTATTGAGAGGGTTATTATTATGGCAAAGTTGTATAGAAAATTAAAGATGTCTGATCCTACCAAGACTAATGAAGCACAGAATAACGGTAATTTGTTACCTGGGTAACACTCGATCATTCAGTATGAGACAATTTTTGATAATTTGTATATATTTTTACTTAGTTAACGTTTCTATCTATTTTATTTTTTGACTCTACCATAATCACTTACGCTTAGAGTTTTAACTCTCGACCATAAGTTGACATGAAACGTTTAACGAAAGTTGATAACGTCAAAAATTCATCTCGTTCCAGCCAATGCTTATCATTCTATGAATTTAACTAATGACTCTTATCGTCAGACTTCACCTGCGCGAGCCAATTAAAACTCAGCCCATTGGCTTGAATCAAACACGCGGTTCGGGAAGTGATCTTATCAAAACAGTTTATTTAAGCGTCAGCGTTTCTCACGCCCAGCTAAGATAGAAAACTAGCTGTCCGACGACAAATTGGTGTTTGGAGCTTGTAAAAAAACTTTGCATAAGGTGGGTCCATAATCTGAGCTTGTCCATAATCCATGTGCGCGTGTGTATTGTGTCGGTTGATACATCGGTTAGGAGTTTAAGTTCACCTCAATACTCTGTCTTGATATTTTCTTTTATTCCTTTTTTAACAGTTTTTAGTGAACGACGCGCTGACGCCGTTTGATTGCGTGCGAATCTTTTCCCATGCTGCTTGCTTCGCCTTCTTCGTCACTGGCGACGAAAATGGCGCCAAAACTATCATTTTGTGTTCCCTCGCGATCTGAGCCAAGAGCAGCTTCTGCTGTTTGGATAACTTTCTCAATGATTCTTTCAAAAATAAAAGTGAGAAATGAAGCAAAGCCGCAGATATTGAAAGGACAACAGCGATTTTTAATTGCATATGTAAAAAATAGACTTAAATTCAAACGGACAGTAGAAGAGGCTCTCAATTGGGTTAACCATTAACTGTAAAATGGCAAAACAAAAATTAGCCGTTAGGGGTAAGAATTGACAAACTTTAACTGTCATAAAACGCTGAGATAAAACGTGAAAATTATTTCTTTTAAAATTAACAGAAATAAATCAATCGTTTGCCGTAAAATCCCATGATCACCCCATTGAGATCCCTCTCTGAAGTCCACGATTGTAATTTACACATGTATACTGACTCGAGATACACGCGTAAATTCTAGTGTGGAATATTGTTTTACTAAATCCTTGCATTTACAAGTCCGGGTTTACCCATGTAAATGACTCGTGTACAAACTACAAGAGTGTTTTCTTCATCAAATTGACTGGATTTACCATGAAAAGCGTTAATTGCGTGAACACTCTATGCATTTATCGTCAACTTTTCATATTCTTTGCCTAAATACCCTTTCATCGTTTCTATCGCTCTCAAGCAAACGCGATAATAAAATTTTAGTGAAACAGTCGCATCTGTATCAATGAAAGTGTACTAAAGTTGTGGTAAAATAATCTGCTCTCTTTATTTGCTTCCAATTTGTTAATTGGTAGGTGATTCAAGATGTTGTTCCATTACGGGTTCCTCGTTTTGCCATTTTGCTACATGATGATCGCTGAACCGCACCGCAGCACAACGGGAGAAAACGACTTGAATCAAGAGGAGCGGACGAAAGTGGAGAAAAGACTTGAAGGCTTGATGACCACTGTACAGGACGAAGCAGAACAAAAAGATTCCGTTGAAGAGGCACCATTGCCTGACACAGATGATAACGCTCTTCAAGAGCATGGTTTTGTTGAAGCAAGTTTTCTAGATGGAGGTGCACAAAGCAAAACATTAATAAGGCGGAATACCAAAATACTTAGGAGGCGCCTGAGAAGAAGACGAAGAAGGTCTAGAAAACCACAAATCCCTGTATGGAAAAGACTCTCTGTCCGGCGAAGAAGATCTTTTAGTGATAACGGTCATTTTAAAGGAGTGGTTGAAATAATCCAAAAAGACAAAGAGAACAACGATGAAGAAATAGAAGACAAACAAACACCCCAAGATGGACAAATGGAAGAAGAAGAAATACAAAACGACCGAGAAAACAACCATGAAAATATACAGCAAAAAGGTGTATACGAGGACGGAGACATGGAGGATGGAAAATACAGCAAGATATAAAAAACCAAGACGAACAGCAAAAGAAAAAATAAACAAAGACGGAGAAAACCAAGATAGAGACAACGAATGGATGACCAAAGAATACAGCAATATCGAGAAAACGATGACAAAGAAACACAGAAAAATAAATAAAACAAAGAATACGAATGACAAACTCAGTTAGACAAATCAGATATATCGTAGGATTTAAAATGGAAGAACTGCGACTCATTTAGCGTAATACAATCAAACTTTTAATGCATTAAGCGATCAACATGTACTGAGCGGTCACACACGGGGAATGGCGGGATGACCACTTGATAAAGGTTGACTGTTTATTACAGGTTCCACAGAATAGCGGTAATAAGGAGTCATTTTATGCTATAATTGACTACTAAAATTGGTTTTAGGAGAGAAACGTGGATTAAAATTTACTTGAAATATTATTTTGAGTTTTTATTTGAGAGGTTCCGCTTTTACCGATCGTTCAATACAGGTGGAAGACAAAACAGAAAGGCCGTTGGGACTCAATCAAAGAAGACCAGGACCTCTTAAGAGAGGTGACCGCTTAATAGAGGCGAAAATTAAAGTGATTAAGGGGGAAAAAACTCGAGACTTTGACAACCGACCGCTTACTACATGCAGTGAGTGACTTACCGCTTGATAAAGTGCCGCTTAATACAGGTTCGAATGTCTAAGCTTAACAATGGTATAAAGCCTAAAAGTTTCACGAAGTAAAATGTTGTATTGTTAAGATAACAAATGTACAAACAAAGCCTCATCAAATTTCTTTGTAACCCATAACACTAAGCGGTCCAAGTAAGAGAGCTCTCGGACCGCCAACCTTCATATTATTTACATATGAATGGCGTAATGTGCATTAAAAGCTCACTTGAATTTTACTTCTTGCATCTGTTTTTGCCTTTCCTGTTTCTCTTTCTACCCTAACTACCTGAAGCGATGGAAAGCAAATCTTCCTAGAATTGATCTCGGAACGTGCCCCTTTGGGGCGCAGATGGGAGGTCAGTAGAAAATCCGTATAGTATCTCAACCGGTTCGAAGCGTTATCCCCAATGTTGGGCAATCATTTTTGTATGGTAAGAAAAACTAATGCGCAAACTTTCAAAACTTCATATCTGTTAAAAAAGGTTTCACTTGACTACCAAACCAACTAATCCGTAAGACTGACAGCGAATCTTGATTTTACAACAAGCTGGATATTCGTTAAATCCAGAATTTTACCGAGATAAAATTATGACTAATTAGTTTGTTTATCCACTTCCTTTTCTATCGTAAAAAGCAAGGCAGTAGTCTTGGAAAAGTTATAAGTGTGAAGCATAATTGACTGCGCCTGATATTATCAAAATCCATTATTATTCTGAAAAAAAAGAATGATATTTGATAAGCACGATGAGCAATCAACTATTTCGACATGCCTCACATATAACTCAGTCTAGGAAAATCTTTGAGTTGTTAGAGGTGTTTGTCATCCCATAAACGGGGATTTACGAATTAAGCTTCATGAAACCGATCGATGGGTTTAAAATTTTGTCATACCGTGATTCTCTTATTTGCCATCGTTTGGCGAACGTGACTTCTTACCTGTTAATTTAAATACTGCGTCATTCATTGCAACTGCTGAATAAATAGGTGTTGTTAGAAGATGGGTATCTAAAAAGTAATATTGATTATTGTATTGAGAAAGTTGTCTTTGTCGCAGTTGATTCCACATAATCTCGATCACTGAAGAAAAGAACGTGTAAGAAGGCAAATTTTACAATGGTGAATGTTAGCTTGAATGGGATCTACGATGTAACACTGTCGGTGACCTGCGCCGCCTCAACCAAAGGAAACCAATTCTTGTTTTTTCTAACAGCTTTAAACTTTCTCCTCGCCATTTCAGCGTCTCTGGGAAATGCTGTAATCTTTTTTGCCTTGCGAAAGATTTCTTCTCTTCAGCCAGCATCCAAACTCATGTTTCAATGCCTGGCAGTTACTGATTTTTGTGTTGGCGTTTTTTCTCAACCTTTGTTTGCCGTCCAGTTGTTGTCGATAGCAAATCAGCGATTGCAGCTTTGTTACATTCTTGTGAGCATCAATAACGTTGCTGGGAAAGCTCTAAGTGGAGTGTCGTTGTTCATTTTAACTGCAATAAGTTTAGATAGACTTTGTGCTCTTTGTTTGGGATTGACTTACAAGAATGTCATAACTTTCAGGCGAACACGCACGATGATTATTTGGATTTGGCTTTTGAACATTTCCCTCGCCAGCCTGAGACGGTTTTGGAGGCTTGCTTTGATGACCAAAGTAATGTCTGCATTCATATCTTCAGCACTAATAATCTCAGCTATCTCCTACTTGACGATCTACCTTAAACTACACAAATATTGCAATAAGCTGCGAACCTCTGATCAAGATGACCAATCGAACGTGCAAAGGAGTGCTTTCAACATTGCCAAGTACAGGAGGACAGTACACACTGGGTTGTACGTACAGGTAGCATTAGTGACCTGCTACCTTCCATTTGGAATAGTTATGGCTTTAGCGAGCACTCGCGGTTACAACTCATCGTTTAACGTTGCTGCTCGACTGACAATCACTCTTACTTTACTTAATTCATCATTAAATCCCATTCTCTACTGTTGGAGACTAAGAGGAGTTCGACAAGCAGTGAGGGAGATTATAAGACGCCCAAGTCAGTTATCTTAGTAGATCTGCATTTAGCAATTTTTATAAAGTTAAACTGTTTTGGCTGCAGTTCAGCGAACGCTATCATTACATAGCTTTTGTCGTGGTTGACGTTTCAGAAAAGAGAAAAATTAAGGGCATAGATAATAGAATGTTCAACTTAAATAATTAACAACGTCATATTTTTGCCCTAAAATGGTGACCTCAAGTTTCGAAAACAGTACATCGGTAAGTTAAGGTTTCTTTCTTGGGAAAAATTTAGGAGTCAACAGAGCCAAAACTCAAAACTGATGATTTATAAAAGAGAGGCATAATCACTTTAAGATTCAGCTGAATCGTTTAATTTCAAAACAGAGCTGATAATATAAACTGTTTTCCAGTTTTTATTAAAGTACATCGCAATAAAATAGTCGCAATGAGGTTGAGGTGGGGTCAAATAAAAAAAACGTCATAAAAAATGATGAAGCATTTTTGGCGCGCGCTGCATCGCGAAAAGATCATTAGAGTATATTAAGGAATGACGGACAGTATCAGATATCATCAAGTAGATATATATTTATAAAAAAGCCTTCGTTAGATGATTTAGATTTGGTGAAGTTTAATGATAGAATCGCAAAAAGATCATTAGAGTATATTAGGGGATGACGGACAATACCAGGTATCATCAAATTGATGTACAAAAAAAAATCCCTTTGTTAGATGATTTAGATTGACATGGCAACGAAAGATTTTTGGTAAGTGACGCGCACGTCTCAAACATCAATTTTTTTCTCAGTTCAGCCAACCACAAATGGAATTGATTAGTCGACAGATTTTCCTCAAAGCTGGAAATTTCAGGGATCAAGCAAAATTAAAACACAAAAACTCTTTCAATTTTTTTATGATGAAAGCTTTCCGAAAAACAGTAATTTAAAAGCCCCAACGGAACTTATATTTTTCTCGAATGAGTAAACACAGATGGATGTGGAAGATAAACAAGTCTGTGAAAACCTTGTTTTCGCCATCTAATCAAAACATGTCTAGAAATTTCAATGGACGATCAATCTTCATGTATGGTTTGTTTAACATCGCTCCTTCGAATGACGAGACAAAATTTTGTCATCAGAGACACCATTATAGAGGGTACTTATCTTTTTCAAAATCAAATGGGCTTAGAGCACAACTGACGCAAGTACCGGTTAAGAATATACCATACAGGTCAATAGAGCTTATCGCACACGCTGTTTGGCTTGTTCGGAAGTGATTAGCAAGTGCTATTACCTTCCGAGCATCCGCAGAGACAAAATAGCGCGTCGAGAGTTTAATTTCCGACCGATTCTTCGATCTATTGAAAAAGGTAAGCTAAATTTTGGTTTTGGTGTGATATATTAAACTCTGATTATACACATGAAAAACACGCTTTTCTGATTGGCCGAAAACGAGTGCATTGTTCATGTAACACGAGTGCAAAGTGCGCACTGTCCAAATTTCGTCTGTATTTACTTTCTGAGATGCTTTTTCATGTTAATCACTGATAAGTGATTACACTATTTCTCGTGTAACCTGGTGTAAATAAGCACTTTTAAATTTTTCGAAGGCCGAAATTGCACTTGCTTTACGGGTTTTTTCAATTTTGTCGTCATTGAAAAACTCTCTCGTGCTTATTATTAACACACCATCTTGCACTCGAAATCATGTTATTTCCTTTACAAACAATACACTTCAGAGTCGGTGAAAATATAAATCGTGACTATCAACCTCCACTATGGTGAATAACTGTTTTTAAATGACCCAGTTAAGGTAGCCGGTCCGGAAAGAGCTGTCGGGCCCTAACACTCACACAGCTCTATTGAAAAAACTTAAAAAATAAAAGTGTGAAAGTAAGGCGCATTTTTGATGAATTGTACATTTCTTGTTCTGAAGCGTAAAAAGTTAAGGGAGTACAAATTAACATTTTTTTTTATTCATAACCTGTAAAGAAAACTAACATTTTTTTTATTCAAAACCTGTAAAGAAAATTAAATTGAAAGGGAAGGTGGCTGGATCTTCCATATCACCCATAGTACAACAACAGAAACGCCTGAGACGCCGTCGGCAAACAACAGTGGTAGGTATTATAAATGAAAGTCCCCCGTTTTTCATTCTGATCCACCCAGGCTCGCAGTACAAAATTCGTTAAGTTTTGACAACTTTTAAGAACAAGTTTCAAAATACTTTTTTTCTGGGGATGCCTTGATTTTTTTCTTTTTTTGTTTTCGTTTTCATTATTCCCCATCTTATTCCTTTTTTCCCTTGCTCTTAGATGTGAATTATTGAAAGTCTGTTTTTCGGTTGAAAAGAGATGTTACCAAGTTAACCAGAATTTATCTTTTATATATCTATGTCAGCAGTTTTATGATGGCTAAGTTACGTCATTCAAGACAGTTGCTTTACCATCATCCAGTAAAGTCCATCTTAAATGTTTCGCCAGGAACCTAGAAATCACAGAGACTGTGGTTTGAAGAGTGCTTAGACTTCATCGGAAGAAACAAAATGTCATCAATCACCTCTTTATCTTTTGAATCTTCTCGGTCCACTATAAGAAAACACAAAATCAATGTTTTCATTTATCAGTTGACTACCGCGCGCGCGCAGCATAGAAATCTAATTAATTAGCGGTCATGAAGCAAAATGACGCTTACAATTAAAACTTGTTGCATCATAAATTAAAACAAACTATTACGCGCAAGAATTGAGCAGTTGAGCTCTCAAAATGGCGCCTGTCGGGTTGCTGTTCAGAAGGCGGCGAAAGACAACCACGCTTATACACCACGGCCAAGTAAAAACCAAACCACGTGACCTACAGGCACGTGTTTTGTCTCCTACAAGACGTCACAATCCACAGCCGTTAGGTCTTGCTTATCAGAGCCCTCTTCAATCGAATGCTCAGGTATGGAGCACATTTTAAAACCCTACTCCACGCTCTTTGTTAGTTTCTTTTATCATTTCTCCTGATTTATTGTAGGCGCTAAGTTTACAAAAAGAGGCTTACCTTTTGCTGTTGCGATAAACTTACATGTGTTTTTTGTCAGATTCAAAATCACAAGAAAAACGAAAATGATCTAAGGAAGACTTGTAAAAGTGAAGGAAAAATAGGTTCGTAAGGCGTACATGACTACTATGACAACAACAAAGAAAACGGAAATCGACAATCAGCGATAAACGAATTAAATGTTCGATGGGTCAGTATTTTATCCCAGAATAGTCTCATTAACTTCCAAAATTCATTTCAAGAGCCAAAAGAAGAGTAATGAAAATGATCTAAGGAAGTCATTGAATTTGAGTGATTCCCGTGAGGTTGATATGATCTCCAGTGAAGAGTGTAAGCTGCAAAACGTTCAGTCAATCTGTTAAGGTGTCCTGTTTTTGTATGTTTTATAAAAAACTTCAGTTGCTTCCTTGCATGCTCAAAATAAGCTTTTTAAATGCGTCGTAATAAAATGACCACAGTTTCAATGATAGTGTGGAAAACTTATATACACCAGTACGAAGATATATATAGCAAAAGAGATCGATATCGACAACAAGGTGGCAGAGATACACGAAAAATGCAGTACAATCGAGGCTTGGCAGCGAATTTTCACCAAACAAGGAAATCATACTCAGCAGTGATTTTTAGTGACTATGAAAGCGATCTTCGCGGTAATGAACACTACTTGAGCAGTAGTGTTCATTACTGTACGGGATTTGAACCCATGACCTCTGTGATACCGATGCAGTGCTCTACCAACTAAGCTAACAAGCCAACTGGGAGCTGGTGCTTTTGTTGGTTCCAAATAAAGCCGTGAGGGGACAAATAAGCGACTCTGAATAAATGAAAATTATGTATGTTAATTGCGGACACAACAACAACCTCTTTTATATTAGTCGCATTTGTGAAAATTTCAAGCCGCCTAATCCAAAATGAAGATAATTGTTGTTTTTTTTAAACTGACTTGCTGACGTGTGATTTTACCTGTTCAGCCCTATGCAATCTGGAATCCAGACTTTCGCCACACACGCTCGAGATACCCAACTCTTTTGGGACACTTGGGTGAGTTTGAAAGAAGTTAAGTTCTTGCAAAGATTTTAAGGAATTTATTAAAATTGCTTCTTTTTTGGCAGCACAAACCCATGTTAGCTACTCATGTGGAATAGTTATGATTTCTTGTATGTACTTTTTTTAAAACATTTACCTTGTGTCAATTCTTGGTATTTTGAGCCCTTATATGTTTTATTTTGCAAAAATCCTATCTCGCATAGCCATCACCAGAGTGACGCATTTGTTTTTAATGGATTACATTAAAGTTCTAACAAGGGATCGATCCCTACCCTTAAAAGACGCTCTAATACAAGAGTTACTTTATTGAATTTACATCCCACCAGCCACCACTACCATGTGTTCAGGAAAAAGGTTACGAATTGATCTTCACAGGTTGACTTCAATAACGCATTTCTTCCCTACAGATCAAAACATGATTTTTTTTTACATTTACTGTATATATAATACTTCCGTAACATTGTGATAACAATATAAATAAAATAAATTTCAAATTAACGAGGAAACTTTTCAGAGACATGTTTCAGCATCTTTAATGCCATCATAAGTTTAATGTGTTGAACGGTTATTTTTGTTTGTACACATTACATGTATATACGTTATAAGCTTGAATCGATTTCTATATTTGAAAGTAATACCGTTCTAATGGTTGAAGTAATTGTGCTCGACAGTGTAACACTTGCAAAGAAATTTATGTGATCAAAATAACTGACAAATATAAGAGACAAGAAACGCCTTATTATAATAACGGTCAAATAGTCTCCCTTAGTTTCGTGGTGTTACAACACTGTTGAATTCCTATTAGGGACCTTATTTCATTTATTTAAGGGTGGCCTTGTCTGATATTGGCTGTATTCTTATTTGTTTACATTAAGTTATCACTGAATCATCATAATCCTTTAACAGATTTGATCAACTTCTCCTGTGGGCCTGCGTCACACGTCTCGCCTCACGATGTCAACCGAGGTATCTGTTTTTCCTGGTAAATATTTGTCATAACCACAAGGAATCGCTGATCTATGCTAGATATTTTGATTTGTTTTTTCAACGAGCTGACTCTCATAATTATTGTAAAAATATTTAACAATTCATGGATAAAAGTGAAACCAAGCACGTGCAGGCTTGCAAAAGGGTCAAGAAGCGTGGAATTGTTTGAACATAGCACCAGTTGTAATTCATATTTTGATACGTCTGATGTAAAACTAAAACATCAAGAACGATGCTAAGGTTCATTTAGCCTGTTTCATCAAATGCATTTGAAAAGAAGTTAGGCTTAGCTGCCGTACTAAGGGTATCCTAAGCTGTGAATCACTTTAGTCCTTTCTATAATATATCCGACAAACATGCTGGGTTAAAATTGTCAGTTGTAGTCGTACTTAAAAGTCTTCGAAGAATAGGCTGATAAAGAAACGTGGATGGGGAAATCTTCCTATCGACTGCAACTTGAATAGATCTTCTTCCTCGTCAACTTTGCAATAGCCTTACTGTAACGTAAAACCTTCCGTATTCCCTGTGCCTGCTAAATCCCGTGAAATTAATATTGAAGAGGCGAGTTAGTAATAATAACAATGATGGGACGCGATAGTCTCGATACACCATCCGTGTAAGCGGCATTATGCTCATAGCAATCTCTTAAAAAAGAGAAACTACTCCTTTTATTCATTAAATCCCGCAATATATTTTCTTACTACAGGAGGCCCGCCAACCATACATTATAGCCTCCAATCCACTTCACGGTTTAGTTACCAGGACCCGTCCCAGTATGTACTGGGAGAGGAAAAGAAGAAGCCGCCCCATCATCCCTGTCGACCCGAACCAGACGGACCGGCTGTTGGCATAAGTGAGTACCTATACTTTTTTCACACTTTTTAAGCCAACTATAACGGTTTCCTTCCCACAGCGGCAAACATTTTTTGGCCTTAGTCATCAAGCCGTAGAATCTCTTCTGGGGTACATTCTATGCAGTGGGGTGTAACGGACACTTCCTTTAACTGGAAGAGCCGAAAACAATAGCGCCCGGTCCCAAACCACTTGATGGACTAGACAAAATTGAAACTTAGTTTTAAAACAAATTGTATATGAAAATCAAAGTCGTTCTCGTGTACCTTTACGCTGAAAAGGGAAAAATAATCTGAGGGTGAAACTTAGCGTATGACCAATTTATTTCTCGTAATTTAGTGTTAAAAACTGAGTTTAAAACGTAAATTTGCCACCGTAAAGAGTTTAAAGGCCGACTTTCGAGCGTTAGCCCTTCGTCAGAGCTATTGACGAAGGGCTAACGCTCGAAACGTCAGCCTTTAAACTCTTTACGGTGGCTAATTTACGTTTTAAACTCAGTTGTTAACACTAAATTACCTGTTATACTCTCCCACTGACGAAACACCATAGTTTATTTAGAAACTTACCCCCTTTTATCAATTTATTTATCGTTACATTCAAACTGCCTCCTTTAGTTAAGTTAATTTATGTTGTGATTTTCAGTTCCTCCAGGTCTTCCTCGTCTATCAGAGATAAACGTGGTGAACGTGCGTCAGGGAGATGACAGTGACAAGGTAGCTCAGCATTATCAATCATTAATACTCAAGATTGTCGCCATGTTTCTCCCAGCTCGTTCAAGCTTCGAACGAGATAAAGAAAGAACTCCCTCCCCAACCTTTTTCCGAAAAGCACGTCAACGGCACATGAACTTTAGTGAAGGATACGCCAAGCAATTCTACAGACTAGCCTTGGTAATAAAGACTTAACGTAGCGCGCGCGGAAAAAAGTCCTTACAGTCACTCCTACTTCAACCCCTCTACGGCGGCCACTTGCCACAACAGCAGTGTTTTTGTTTTGTGTTTTTTTAAAACATCAATTTTGTGAATATACTTTCAGTTGTGTTGAGTTTTTATATCTTTCCCCTGTCACTTTTTCGTGAAAAACACTGTTCTTTCTCTCGCAAAAATTGGCACCGTATGATGCCTTTGAGCCCCTTCAAGACTACCTCTCTACAACTTCCGCATTCCCTTGTTCCCTTTGTAGTCAGACCCGACCTCCTGTTGACCCGCAGATCTAAAAACGGGTGGGCTCTTTGATCTTTGCCATTAAGTTATCTTGCAATTTCTTTTTATTAACGAACCGCTCTGATCGGCCAGGTCTGGCTAATGGTTAGAGATTACAAGACACCAAATTGTGCTAACATGTCACCATCTTCTTTTCTTTCAGAAATATGATAAAAGCAGTTGGAGCAATGCAGCACTTAGAGAAGTCTGGAGAAGCACAGGGCACCCAAACGCGTTTTGTTGCACTCCATAACCTAATCCTTCCACTTTGATCATTATCAAGTTATTTCAGTTATTTTTCAGTTTAATAAACTTTACATCTCTTTTCCCGACTTAGTGATTATTCTGTTTGTAATTCTTATTTAGATTTTGGAGAGGGATTCTTTTCCATTAATTTTGGACTGAAATCAATCAATTAATCTTTTGAAGGTGTGCAAGTGCAGAAATATGTTGATATATGAAGAATGTAATTTTAAACTACATGTTCACAATGTAAGTGGGAAAAGGTCTCCAAATTTCATTTTGTTTGTACTTCATTAAATCCTTGATACATTTAAAAAGGGACAAGTAATAAAAATCCAAGAAAATCATTATACAGGTGCCATGATCAAAAGAACTGAATCACTGATACTATGGCAGATTTACTGAAACCAAAGCCCCCTGACTATCCAACTCAGAGACTATTTAAACCACAGTAGTCCTAATGACTTGCCTTGGGAGCAAGGTTTTTTTTAAAATTTCATCTTACTCTGAATCTAGTGTGACAGTTCTGCTCTGTGGTTGGTTTTCAATGTCAAGGGGCCATGGCTTCAATAAATGCATTATAAATGTGCACAATTGAAGAATAATAATCAAGTGGGAAAAAAAGATGTGTTCAAATTCTCATGTTACAGAATTCTCCTTTCAAAAAGATGGTCAGTAACACTAAATGTGCTTTTGCTCCAACAGTCTGTCAAATTTCTTTTCAAACCAATATGGATGTTGGTAAGATCCTTTACTTAGTTTGAAGTTCTGTCCAGTTCTTTCTCTGATCTATGTCTACGAGGTTTCTTGCCCATCCATGTCACTAGTGAATTAAACTTCAATATCTAAATTTGTCCAGCGCATGTGTTTAAGAATGCTAACCGGTGGGTCTTCTAAACAACAACACATGTGGCTCTGCAAGCAAAAGAGAAAACAACATGATAAGCCAAGAAAATAATAATAAAAGGAAAATCTTATCAGAAGAAAACTAAACTATAGCTTATTTCAAGATCTACCTCAAATTTTTACAGGGTCACCTTTCAGTCTGAGAAGGCTTTGTCTTCAAGTTTCACAGTCAATCTATAGGGTATCTACTGTGCTAAATTAAACCAATCGTTGAAGTTCACTGGCTGCCAGCCATACAAAGTGTACAACCTTGTCTTACATACAACTGATTCATACATTGATTCTAGTACTTTTTACCATAGCCAGATACATTTCCTCTAAATATGAGAAAGAGACAGTCTTAAGTAGATAACCTTCACTAAATAATGTCAACCTTAATTTTTTTAAATTTTTGACCCAAAGTCAAGATAGGAGTATCAACGACAACGACAACAACAATGTCATGTTGGTTTTAGGATGATGAATAGATGAATGATCAATTTCTTCATTGAAGGAAAGGGGCCCTCAAATGCAATAACAGTATTTCCTTGAATAAATGCCAAAGTACTTATTTAAAATTTCTGCTAAAAGGAGGTGTGCTCATTGGAGGGAGGGTGCTTAACTAAGGACTAAAGGGGGAAGGGGGGCTTGTTAAGTTAATGCAGCAATAGAATAAAAGTCAAAAGAACAGGTAATGCACATACAGGAATTCTGCAAACACACAGGGATGGAAATAACTGAGGGTGACTAAAAGGAAAAGAAACTATTCTCCTGAAATGATTCCGCTTAAGTTGACACTTAAAAGGTTATAGGTAAAGTGGCAATAGAAAAAGGTTTTCATTGCATCCCTACTAGTTAAGAGAGTGAGGGAGGAGTGAGGTGCTTGTTTAACATTATAGCCTTGGGGGAGGGAGCTTATTAGAATGTGGGCACTTATTCAATGAAATACAGTATCACCAGCTTATCTCAGTTTTGCTCCAATGAAAAAAACTGAGTTGTCATGACAGCTTGGAAAATACTTACCAGGTTCATGAATAAGATAGTGAATCCACCCTGGAGACTGTTGTACCCCAAGGTTTCGCCATTCACTCTCTGTCATTAAGTGGGTTTTGGGAACAAACTCCGCAAGATCTTTTGGAAGGATGACATGTCTAGTAGAAAAAATACTTCATATGCAACCATGTGTTGTTCATAAAGTAATAATATAATAAAAAAGATGCATGCTTCTGATTGGCATAAAAACAGGTGCATTTTTCATTTAATATGAGTGCAATGTTGTGATACAGGAGCAAATTACAAATGAGTAATGAACCCTAACCCTAACAAGGTTTGAAAGGGTTTTTCACAATTAATGACAAGTGCTCACTAATAAAAGATATCAGGACTGTATACCTTGTCATCAGGCAAATGTTTTAAGATCTGTTTAAAACTATTGTTGGGAAATTTTTTAAGGGTGTTGCTCAGGCTTCATCCATTGGCATGCTAACAGTATGGCAGTGCTAAAAGCCCCTCTATAACTCAGTTTTTGAAAGATATCTCAAAAACCAAGTCCATGACGTAGAGTCCTTTGTTAAATTTCTATGGCCCCATCAATTTCTTTTCCATACATGGTATACAAGAAAAAAAAAATATCATGCAGAACTTGTGCTATTTAGGAAAACACTGTTTCAAGATGTAAAAAATTATTCATTGGATTATTATTTTTTAAATTTTTTATAAACATGTAATATCATTTGTACACAGAAAATCAGGGTGGGTCACCGAGCTAATTTCGAGATACTAGCTTATCAATCTAGAAAGGTTTATTTCCAGTTTTCATGATTTTAGCTCACACTTTTTTCTAGATTCTACTGTCTTGCTTCCTTTAGCGTGCATCATTGGTTTTGCACTCCTAATGTCTCCTTTGCCTGAGTTATTTGTTAGTCGAATTTTCACTTCTCTCTACTTTTTCTTTGTATTACAGAAATAGCCTCATTCAGCTTTTAAAAACAAAAACGTCGGTCAATTTTCATTTGATTTGCGGCCGCCATTGCTGTTTACAACTCGCGCCAAGCAATTTTCGTGGGAAATCGCGCGTGCGATGCATTCATTAAGATCCAATCTCCTCCAGCATAAAACCCTACTGTATCACTCACTTTATTAAACTAGCGCTGCATGCAAATTGAACTCTGCATTAACGAGATTGCAATAAATGCGGATCTTTTCTGTCATTAACACCTTGAATGGTGACTAAGCATCTGATAGTCGAAGGCAATTCAAATTCATTCCGAATGGCTAAGATGCTAAAAGGCTTGCTCGTCAAGCAAATACTAAGTGCCACATCTCCATGCGCTTGAGATGATGTAGCAGATAAGCTCAAACAACTGAGTGCATTTATTCTCTTAACTAATTCACCTTCCAAAGTCTCTTTAGATTCTTAGGGTGAGTTGTAGTGATCTACGTGGCATCAAAGCTGTGATGCTAGCGCTCTGCGGGTCCGCGCTAGCGCGCCCGTGTCGAAGTGGAGACAATAGTACCATGATCATGAAATTGTACTCACCTGTACTCGTAATGGTCGTCTAAGTACTTGTCTGAATAACAAATTTGCGTAACAGGCATTTTTCCGCTCAGATATCGAGCAAATATGCCCGGAAGATGTTACTTGTCCGCAAATTTGAAAAAACCCTCGATCTTCCTGTGACTGGCGGTCAACTCTGAGTTTACTTTGAAAGCGCGGTTCCCAAGCATCCAATATAAGAATTAAAATCAACATCAATAATATTTGTAGTAAGCTTGAATATTTCGCTCATTTTTGTGAGATAAATTATATTTTTCTGACCCCAAAAAACTACTCCACAGAGAAATCGTCATACTTACGTGGTTGTACCCCTGAAAAGTTGTCGTAATCTTTTCGTAAATTGGCTACAATTGCTGATCCCAGTATCAATTCTCTTTAATTAAAGGATGGCGGGAAACATGAGTTTGGGAAACGTTTGGACCATCTTGACCTTGAAAGGAACAGGAAATTGACCTTCACTTGTCCATTTCTTCCCCGTCCTAAATTGATTGAAATAGTGAGGCCACAAATCTAAAATTAAGGTACTTGAACGCGATTTCTGGAGGTGAGAGAAAGAGCGAGTTATTGGATCCTGAATATGTAAGAATCTTGCAATCTTTTACTAGGAGGCATATAGAGGACGCCAAAGTCATCACAACAGAAGGTGCCATAATTGTTACATCGAGAATATTGAGGTAAGTAATTTTTAAGGTCATTCATACCCAGCACAAATTGAAATCGTTTATCACTGTAGACTTCCTAGAGGAAAGACACTCAGGGCAAGCCTCTCGGTTGGAAAGACTCGATCAATCGGAATTTTACATATAAGCTTACGTCACTTAATGGCGATTTAATAGTTATGAGCTGAACAAAGGGCTTCTCTTTCCCACCAACTTACGCCACGAGAGTGAAAAGAAAATTTGTCTTTAAAATAAAATATTTTTTCCATTGCTTTTGTAATACAAAAATTTAAGGAAAGGCGCAACCTGCTTTGGTCTACCAAATAGTCACCAAAACCACGAAGTCTGAGGTTAGCTTCAATTTCTCCCATATTTCCACATTATCTTGAAAAGTTGCCTCGCAAACAAGCGATTGCAGAGAAAATGAAGATAAGAAACCTCCAATGGGCCTTACCATAGATGTTAAGGTCGGAAAGTAGAAAGCGAAAGGGAAACCTTTCACGATCTGGAAATTTCATGTTGACTCGGCGAAATCGAGATTTTATGAATTATATAAATCAGAGAACACTACTGCTGAAAGGGTAGACATAATATTATCGGTTGCCTTGATTTGAAAGAGGTTTTTCCTTCACCGGTTGGCGGGTTGACCTGGAGACCGCCACTGAATGTTTCATTTTGTTCATGACAAGTCAGGCAGATGTTATTTATTGTCACGGAAAATTAGAGAAATTCCTGTGACCGTCATGGTCAATGGAAAGAGATGGGGATGTAACAGAATTTAAGAAAATGAATAACACTTTTAAAAACATGTTATAAGAGTTCTTCTATCATCTTCAGTTCTGAATAATACAAAGACAAAGTTGAATTTAAAGTGTGTAACAAAATGCTAATTGGACAAAACAAGCAATAATAACAAAACAATGTATGCATTTGCAAGGAAAGTTTTAAATTAACATGGTAAAGTTGATGATTAAGTGTAGGTTTCGCCCGTTGAATGTGGATAGCTCCTTTGATTTTAAGTTGAAAAGTTGTGGAAGTAATTGACCCAAGATGTTAAAACACTGCTATGTTGGTGAAACCTCTCAGCATTTATCCACACGTGCATGTGAGCACTTGGTCAGTGATAGGACCTCTCACACTTTCAGACATCTACATAATTCTTCATAATGTTGCACTCTTTGTTCTGATGAGTGTTTTTACATCTTGTAACAGAAATATTACAGTTTGAATCTTACCCTAGATATGCAATTTACTTACTATGGTTAAACAAAAATCAACAAAGTAAATAACAATTTCTTTGAAATTTTTAAATCTCTTTATTACTTGGTAGTTTAAGTAAAATTTTTTGGCTACAAAAATCGGTTCCATGATTGCAGTTACATATTTACAATTTAATATTTATGAGACAGCTGAAACATGAGAAGTAGAAGAAACTTCATCATTATAAATAACTTCTGCTCTCAAAACCTATCCATCATCCTATGTCTTAGGTTCTTAGATCTTCACTGTGGTTTTTCAGGAAACAAACATGCCATGTGCCAACACATCAGTCTTATTATCTTCTATATGAAGATATCCAACAAACAAACAAACACTGTAACCTGTGAACGCTTTAGAGAAAATTTATACTTACAAGCCTATTAAAAAATTCAAGTGCCAAAATATTTTGTATAAGGTGTATAAAAACAAGGCTGTTTTCCTTATCCTTTCCTGCTAATCCAAAGTTTAATTGAAATCAATCAAAAACTGATCAATTGGAATACAGAAAAACTTACAATACATTGCACCTAAAATAAATTAATTGCTATTTCCTAATAATCAACTGACTTAAATGAATACTGTCAGAATTAAATGTTTCTGTTTTTTAGAGCATGATTGGTTTAATTTTGTTTAACCCTTTAACTCTCATGAGTGACCAAGACAGAATTTCTCCCAACAATATCCATATAATTTCAAGCAGACAGTGATGAGAATAAAGAGAACTATCAATTAGGGGATTATCAGTTGATCCAGTAACAAATTCTTAGAACTAAAATCATAAGAATTGTACAGCAGTCAGTAAGGAGAATTACCAATGAGATCTTGGAAGTGAAAGGGTTAAGTAACCCAGGTAAAAGTGGTGGCAATGGAATAACGCTCTGTTTGAGTTTGGTTTCCTTTGCATGATCATGTATCTACCAAATTTCAAGAGTTGCAAAGTGATTGTAAAAAATTTACCAAAGATTTTCATCTAGAAAGTACACAGGGCAGTCTTCCATGCAAGTAAAAAAAAAAAGGAATTAATGAATGGAATTCTCTCTTTCTTATCATAACTTATCTTTGAATTTTGTGTCTGGACAGCAACAATTTACATCAACAGCTGAAAATTAAATTTTTGTTTTAATATATCATCATATGAGCAATTATTGGTTTTTGTGTATTCAATGTTGCTGAAAAGTACAATAATTACATACCTTACACATGCTGCACTTGATGAGTGTAAGAACAATAGTAAATAAACTAGTGAATTTATCAGGATTCAGCTGGAACTCCTATCTACATTGTGGAATAAAAAATTAGTTTTATTATAAAAGCCAAACTTTAAGTTACTTTACTATGTACACAAAATGTGGAAATTGTTCACCTAGTTAACTTCCAAGAAGTTAAACTATTACATGCTAAGTGAATTCTCTTGTTGTCTGCTATTTAAATTACGTTAACTTGCAAAGCAATTCACAATAAATTAAGAGGAACAATCATTATAACATTTTGTAATGCCCTATAAACATTTTTAAACACAACAAGAAATTTTGAAATTACGATGCATATCAATGCAAAATTGAATAGTTCTTCTTGTGTCTACCACACAGTCAGGCGAAATATTGTTTTTTACACTTGCACTTGGCTAGTTCAGAAGTGATAAACCAGTACCTATTCACCTCTGAGCACCCGAAGAAACAAGATAACATATCAAGAGTTTAATTTTTAACCCTTGTTTGGTATAATGACAGAAATAAAGAAATGATTTTGTTTCTGTAAGGTATGTACTAAAACAATTATTCACCTCAGTGTTGATGAAAGCCCCAGATATATACCTTGCTGCCTTGCAGTTTGGTGAATATCAACTACACTTCACCTTCACTTTGGTGAATTAGTTTTTAAAGTAAAAATTCAAGAACTTCCCTCATAAATTATAGCCTACAGTCCAGCTGGGATACATTTTTGTGGCTATTGTCCCACATATTCCTCTCTCCTTCCTTTTGACTGTCACTCACTTCCTTGGTACAAATTTCTTTCTCTACCCAGCCTTATGCTACCATCATGGTAGCTATAATTTTCACCAAGAAAATACTGAGCACTCCCTTGCCAAAATTATGCTTGCTCTGCAGGCTAACTATCATGGTGAAGTTAGACTTGAATACCATTTTGCATGCTTTAAATTTACTTATTACCATATTGCAACTGTGGAAGTCTGCAAAGTTTTACTCTTTGCTTTAAAATTAGCCATCACAACATTTTGAAAAGTAAATGAATGTTACTTTATGACTACCAGGAAAACATGAAAATTGTATGTAGTAATTTATGAACTACGAAATAATTGCGACAAGTGACAATGTGGAATTCAGATTGATTAAAATACAATTTATCCCCTACCAGTGAACAAGGCTTGAGTACTTAGAGGACTTTAAAATCAATGGAAAACCAGTTTTTAACTTCTGGGAAGGCCTACTTCTGCTTATTAGTGGGTTCTTTTCAAGGAAGTGTGCAAATAAAGAGTTGTAATGGTAGTTCAAAGTGTAGTGAAAATGGTTCTACAAGTGGGAAAAGCCACCAAGTTGTAAGAGTACTTGCCACAAAAGCTTCCACTGCAAATTTACAAAAGATTAACTAAACATAGTTTACTTGTAGGGAAAAAGATAAGCACAAAAAATAAATCATCATATAAACAAACAACATTTAACTTACAGACAACATTTCACTTACAAACAACAAATAACAAACCAAAACAGTTTTTAAATTCTTGGTATGTGTCATGAATGACTAGGCACACGTATGAGTCTAAAACACCAAGTATGAATATTACAAAGTCATAGAAAAACAATTTTATACAAGACAAATCTACAATATTCAGTCTATGATGAGCAGACACTGATCAGTTGGGGCTTATTGTCATCATTGGTATTCCATTCATTCCACCATTTTGTGTTCCATTCATGGGTGGATAAGGATTCTGCAAACCATTCGAAGAATTTGCAGGTGGATATGGCAGCTGCAAAGTAGATACAGAGAAATGTTATATCTCCAAGTAATTAACACCGAGCATATTACATAATGCTGATACAGTATTCCAGATTTCCATCCACAGAAGAGTAACCATGAAATTTTTAAAAATTATAATAATTTCACAACTGGTAAAAAAGGAGCACCCAAATGGATTTTATTATTAAACAAGGGAGGAGTACTTTGGATTCTTATATTCTTGAAAGGGTAGTCTTAGAGCCTGAAAATCACTATTTCATAGGACATTTCTGTTCCCTAAAGCTAGCAAATGCATTGTTCTGAAGTGGAATAAAACTGCTAGAGTTAAAAGCCTTGGTGAATAAGTTTTGCTAGTTTTCTATTCTAACACTGCTAATCACTGATGCTACTCAAAAATGGAATTTTTGCTGATCTATATGTATTCTTACTGATCTAAGCCAGCTCATTTTATTTTTAGCTGAAGCTGCGATTTCAGCTATTTTGCAATAGGTTAGAGTTTTCTTTATGCTTTCCTGCAGGGCAAATATGGTTAAAGAGTAAACAGCCTTGTGTATCACATTTTACAGTCAATCTGTGCTATGTTATCTGCTGAAGTAGCTATTATAGCTTAAACCTGATTAAGTCCATTGGCAAACATGCATAACCCAGCTCTGATATCTGAAAGACTGTAAACTAAAGCAACTTAAAATTTTACCAATGCTGAGATGTTCTTTGATTTAGATGATACAGTTCCAGCTAATAAAATTGCTTATAAGCCCTAAATCTTTTGCACAGTGAGTGCCAACTGCAAAGTGCAAATTGGCCACTTGGCTGGTGACAAAATTGCTGCAAAAGACCTAGTTTTCAAGCAGCAATTCCCATTAAAAGATTCTGATATTTTTACCTTGCCATTGGCCCCTCCACCAACCGAAAACATTGATGTGATGTCTGTGAAGTGACCTGGTTGCTGAGAGTAGTAAGGAGGGGGTGCATTTGGCAGAGGAGGAGTGTAGTATGCAATTCCATTCTCTGAAGGTCTGGAGGGAGCAGCTTCTTGAATGCCAATCTAGAAAATAATTTCATTTTTTGAATAAGTGATGTAGCACCATAATTTTGTCTTTTTCAAAGCATGAAATAGTTATTCTAAGGAAGATAACAAGTTTTCTAAACAAATTTAACAATTCACTGTTAACAATATATGTACCAGTACACTTATACCTGAACAGATAGACAGAGTGTCTGAAAAATCATGAATGATTAGATAGACAGAGTGTCTGAAAAATCATGAATGATTAGTTAGACAGCAATATCTTCATTTATAACTGATGAGATTCAAGGCTAGAAGGTAATGGAGTTGTGTCCATTTAATTTCAAGATTTAAAATGCCATAAAGAAACACTTTGCAAACTAATACATCCAAGAATTCATTACATTATTTCAAAATTATATCTACAAAGAAATAGCCTGCAGTAAACAAAGTCATGCTCATAAAATTTTACTAACAATAACATGCAGAGTAATGATAACTCTATCAATTGTACACTTTTAAAAGTCTCCCTTTTTGGAATGGCACATTGCCATTTAGGCTGTAAATACAAATGCTAATGAATAAAATGCTGTGTGCTTAAGTAATTCTAGAAGAATATAGAAAATAAGCTGACAAAAATAAAAAGTGAGCTGATGAAACCTTAATGGAACTGAATTATACTTGAACCAACTTTATCAAATACATGTATGTAATACAAATGTGTAGTCAGTATGCCCATGGGCAAGAAGTTGGAGTCTTTTTGTGTAGTTCAATGGTAGAATCAAGCAGAAATTAAGTACCACATACCGGTAAACCCACAAATTCAGGCCTTGGTTGTTTGAAGGTTAGATTATGCTATCCACTGGATAAATCTCTATCCAGTGGATAGTGCAATACATTTTGTTCGCACTTATGCACTGGATAGCGATTTACCTGTGGGATAGCATTATCTGCCCTTTGAACAACTGGGGCCAGGAGTGCTAGCTTAATGGTATCTTCCAAAGTGACTCAATTAATTACATAAGTAACAAGCCAGTCTTACCTGATTGGTTCTTAGGTGAAATGGGAAATTAGAATTTGCTGCATTAGGTCTGGTAATGACCTGTGAACATGAAAATGTAGTTTAAGAGGGAGCATGTAGAAGTAATATCTTCCTCTTTAAACCCTTTAAACCTTTAGGATAACAACTAACTAATTTTTCATTACAATGTAACCCCTGAAGCACACATCAAGGTCACAACAATAAAGGAATTGATCACCATCTAAAGAAGCTCTTAATTATTAAAAAAATGCTCCTTGTCAGCACCTTAGGAAATGTATAGAGAACAGTGTGGAGAATATGGTAGGGTGTAAAAGATTCAACAAATTGTGGGCAACAACCTTTTGCTGGAATGTTTATCTGAACCAAAAAAATAAATCCTTAATATTTGGGAAAACTTAATTAGCTTTATACTTTTACTTTATTTAATTTTTAATCAGTTATCTGAGATATTTCAAACACTGTTCATATATAGAAATTAACAGGTATCTAGGACCATTCAAAACAGTTTGGACTGATTCCTTACCAAGAAAACACCATGTGCCAGAATAGAGATGCACCAATCAATTCCGTTAACAATTTGAGCTCTGAATAAAAAAATAGTTCCATGAAACCTCATCACCAAGTAAATAGCAAACTCAAACAAGAAGAAAAAAGACATTTTTTTCACTGCAAGGACACTTTTACATTTTTTCAGTTATTGACCAATGCTTTACATTTTACCTCTCATATGAAAAAAAGAGAATCCATTACACACACAACTACTGGTACATCTATCTCAATAAGGATTAATTTCTTAATACCAGTAAGTTTAAATTATGATTGAGATCTAAGAGTCACTCAGAAATATGTAAGAAGACAAAGGAGATGATAGTGATATGATCCAACACTGTCTCCTCACCTTTCCCATTTTTGTATTCTATACGCTGAAATAACAACCATGATTGGCCCAGCAAGGAACCTGAGAGAGATGAATTTTTTAATGGATGAAGAAACAAATTTTATTCTGGAAGGGGAAGAAGGATTTAAAAGCAGGTGCAAGTGGTGGAAGCTTGTATAAAATGCAAGGCAAGCTAATTTTGTAATATCAACCGAGTTGACAACATAAATTTGCCACCAGAAAGATTTTAATACCTGATGTTTTGAGCATTAGCCTTTATCATTGGCCCTGACCGAGGACTAACGCTTGAAATGTCAGCTTTTAAAATCTTTACAATGGCAAACTCAGTTAATGATACCAAATTACCTTGTTATACTCCCCCACCAACACAGCAGCACGGTTTCTTAAGAAACTTACCCCCTTTATTAAAATATAGGGCTGATGGGACATGCTGCCTTTTAGTAAGAAGATCTGATTCAATTTGCATGATATTAAGGGGTGCTACAACAACCATGCTCCTACTTTTATCACATTAGGTAGGCCCATGTCAGATTTCAAATGACCCAAACTTAACATGAGACCTACTACCACAATTATTGTTTTTTTGTTGTAGTTCTTGTTATAACAAACAAGCAAACAATAATAATAATAATAAAAATAATAATAATAAAAAACAATTAAAAGAACAAAAGGAGAACAAAATTACTCAATCTCAAAATACATCAGAGGATATGCATCTCTTGGTCATTGAACACTCTATCCAACTTACCATCCTGTGTAGATTATCCAGAATGGGTAATAAAAATTGCTTTTGTTTGGATAGTGCTTCAGTGTAAAGAAAGTCCCATAACAGAACCACAACCAAGCCTGAAAGTTATTAGTAATAATCAACTTCATCACAATAAACAAACCAGGAAAGTTTAACATAAGCACCTAGTAACAGTTACAATAAGGTTAACAACTTAAGTTGTATGAAAGTCATCGATATCACAGTTTCTGAGAATCCTTGGACATATTTATTTAAAATTTAAACCTTAATTTTATAGTTCACAACTTAAGTTTGTTTCTCGTTTCATTGATTATTTATACCAATTATCTCTCCTGGACTGATAATTATGCCAGATTCTTAACCCTATTAATTACTAGTGATTTCTTTTATGTATATTAAATACAAGCAAGTACATATTAATTTCAATCAATAGCCATGATCTAGAGGAAATTGCACTGAACCTAACCCATAAGTTCTCTCTCCAAACATTACATGAATTATATGTTAATGAGGAGTACGAATTGCTTCTTTGAGGCTGGCCTGTAACAAAGTGTAACACATATACTTACTATGACTCTCAGAACACAGATTCCAATACCAGCAGGGCTCTCATAGATGTAAAGGACCTTGCCAGGATCAAACACCTTAAATTCCAACACAAATTTATTATTAAAATTATTTTGTTATCTAATTGTAACCTTACAAGTATTTCATCAAATCTTTTGTTGATCATTTCTCACCCTGTGCAAAGATATTGAGCTGTAATATGAAGCTGAAATCAAAATCTCCCTGTCTTAACCCTTTAACCCCTAAGAGTGATTAGCACCTAATTTCTCCTTACAATATCATCCGCAAATCACACATTTAGGTCATGATAATAAAGGAAATGATCACCAATTAAAAAAGCTCTTGATTATTAAACAAATTCTCCTTATCAGCACCTTAGGAAATGTATAGAGGACAGTATAGATTATGCATATTGATGTTAGGGTGTAAAGGCTTAAGAAAGATGCATTCTATTTCTCTTCTAGAAGGGTTGGTGGTGGGTTGGGTTGGGTGAGATGAGCAATCCCCTAGGGAAATTGATAAAGGGGAACTACATTTGTAAATATTTCGGCTCCATCAGACATCAAATCTCTCCTGCCAAATCCATGCGACATCTTTCTCTAATGATCTTGAGTGTGTAACGACAACTTCATGAACACTCTTCCTTTTTGCAATACAGGCTCATGTCTATTGAGCTTTGGTTCCTCCCACTTCTCATAGGGAAGTTTTAGCAGGGAAAATAACAAATAATGGTACCTCTGATACTAGAATACAGCTGTGATAAGAATTGGACTTTTATGCAATTCTAGCTTGCATTTTGAAACTTTTTTTTTATCACAACTGTTACCTGTACCATTTGATAGACCACTGGGTACTTTTAGGTCCTAAAAGCAGAATTTAGAGGGACATGTTGCCACTTATTTCATCATATTCCACTTACAGCAACTTCATAGAAGAAAAGGATGGCAAAACACACTGTGTACACTGTGCCAAAGATACTGAGCTTGATCTGACCAGAAGAACTGATACGTCCTCTGCAAACAAATGATTCAGTCCAGTGAGGTCAGTTACATTCTCTTTCTAAGAAAGATGTCTGTCAACTCATGTATCTATGATACAAAGCAAATCTCCCGGTCTCCCTTACAGTTTGCTTAATCTCTCACATAGAAGTAAATTTAAATTTCATGTTAGATAGGGGAAACCAAGAAAGTCTTGTCACCCTTTCAGTGCTTTCATAAGGATCTGGCACCTATTAGAGCTCTGAGAGGTATTATGTTGTGAATTGCTGGGTATACTTTGGAAGCTTAAAACCTAAAACACTTGAAATTCTTCCAGAGTTTCTTCAGTTCTTTTTCCTTTGCAGACAAGTTTTGATAAAAATTATTGATACTGTCTTATCATATATTCTAGCATACATTTCAAACATTTTCGGCAAAAAAAAAAAAGTTGTTGAGTTTTCAAGAACATACTGACCCAACATTTCTATAACCAATAACCATATGTCCTCTCAGAGGACTTTTTGTGTGAAACTCGGGAAGCAGTTTGCATGTAAGCAAATGTAAGATTTATTTAGAGTTAAAATGATTAGTTATACAACTTTTACAAAGGAGACAAATGTGAAATGATCATCTATGGAGGTTTAACACAGCAGACTTCATCTGAAGCCAGTTTATTCTGAATAGAAGAAATGGAATAAAAAGAGGGAAATTGTATTTCATATTATTATCTGGGGGTGATTTACCAAGGCAGCCACCTTCTTCCAATATTGTTGAAAGCACTGCCTTTTCCTCCATTTTAATTTCAAGGGTGGTTGTCACTATTAACAAGGCTATCTGAAAATTTACCTATTCTAAGTGACTAAATTGGTTGCCAAATGGTCACCTGACAGCAATTTAAATTTAGGTTACTCAATTTGACACCAACTTTTTTTAAGGTTAATGTACTTCAGCAATACCTTGTCACTGTCCATCCTTTGGCCATCAAAATAAGCATTATTAGGAATACAACATGAGAAGTGAAATGAAAGGCACGCCCTGTGATTAAAAAAAAAATATATATGTAAATATCTCATCAAATCAATATGTCCAAAATTTTTAATCCTCAGTAAATCTAATCCAGCACTGCCCATTTTAGATTCCTTTTTCCTAGTCAAGATGAAAGTGTTGCAGCATAGTTATTCTAGGGTTTGAATAAAGTAGAAGAGGATCATATTGCCTGCATATATCAAGTACTCAAACAGTTGTTTTGTTAATTAACATTTACAGTTTAAGCAAATTTACCAACATTTTCAAGGATTCTCTCTTCTTTGAATTACACCGAGCAAATGTTCAAATGTTTCCACAAACACAACTTACTTACCTACTACTGAAATTCCATATTTTTCAATTCCTTTTTTTCCATACTCAATGTAATATATTAGGTAGAATATCAAGCTAAGCACTGTACATAAGAAAATAAGAAATTTAAGTCAGTTAAATTATAAATGCTAATCAACTAATGTATACTACTAAATTGTGGAATACACGAACCATCTCCACTTTCAAAATGTGTTAGCATCCATCCTATGGTTGCCCACTTTCAAAATGTGTTAGCATCCATCCTAAGGTTGCCCACTTTCAAAATGTGTTAGCATTCATCCTAAGGTTGCCCACTTTCAAAATGTGTTAGCATCCATCCAAAGGTTGCTCGTATTGTGCACTTCAACATGTTATGTCACTGCTCTGGTGTTTTTCCTTTTTTTTTTTTTTAATAATTACCAGCCTATTGCTAATAGAGCAAACTTTTTGAAAATTTGTGTCATTGAAGACCTCCCATGATGAAACACAACCTTGAATATACATTTAAATTCTAGATTCTCTTGAGAATTACTGATTGGTGAGAAGAGAATTAACTATTAATAAAAGTCAATGACTGTGTTTTCTAAGTCAACTTACAAAACTTTAATTACCTTCAAATGTCAGGGAACACAAATATAATTTGTATGAGAAGTGAAATAATCTTCGAGAAGTTAGTAGACCTGCAGTACAAAAGAACTATTACCAATTGCAATTACATCATTTCTGTCATTGTTATCATTAAGTCATAATATCTTTTATATCCAGTGTAATCCACAACTGCACTAGTTTTGCTTTCCTACAATTTGTGATTGCCCCTGAAAACTTGCCCAAATCAGATATACTAAAGTTAACAGGGCACCCAGGTGGACAATCAGACATGGTTTGATGCTACTCTGGTTTAAAGATTTAATGAATGTAACCAAGAAGTTACAATTCAAAGACCCAACGTTTCGACACTCCTGTACCACAACAGGTTCTTTTATATGCTCACTAATTAGCTACCCTTTTCTCTGACGAGGTGTAAATAGGTGTCAGGTAGTAAGCTGCCATCAGGTCAGCATTGATAAACCATGTCTGATTGCCCTAATCAATCAACCAAACAATCAGATGCTACACTAATTCTTATTGTAATAATTTATTTGCTCTAATTGGCAGCTCACGTTTCTTCAGTTTTGGTTTCAAAAACCAGACGAGAAAGCTCCCCAAAGCCATGCCAATTAAATGCAATACAAGAGTTATTTAGAACAAAAAAGGAAAATATAACCAGTATATAACCATCAGTAACACAGAAATATTTCATAATATAAATCTCACACATACTTGAAAGTAATGATTTGAGGTACTGATTACACGGTCAAAAAAGAGTAAACTAATAAGTTAATTAAAGTTTCTTACATGCTACATAGATGCCAAGAAACCACAAACTGGTAAATATAATAAAAAATGCTATGTCCATTGGAAGAATGACTGGAAAAGAAATGGAAAGGAAACAATTTAAAAATGTTAAACTGTCAATAAGTTGGTTACCATGCAAAATACTTAATATAATTACTAATTGTTACTGTAAGTGATCATTAATATCTGTTGTTTGATTCCTTTAGTCTAATAAAAAATTATCAATTTTAATTGTAACATAGTGCATGCACAAGGCCTACCTACAACTTGTGTCTGTACACTATGTTAAAACAAAATTGGTTCATGCTTTAGCTGTGTGAATATTGAGTTATGGATACACTTGGGAAGTTTGGAGCACTCAAGAGGCTTCTCCTGTGTTTGTGCAACCATAACTTTACATATATATGCATATTAAGCATGGACCAATTTTTATAATTTAATTGATAAATTTTTAACATGGAAATTATTGAATGATTGTCTATTGTACATGTACATACATCTTTCGTCTGCAGAGAAATGCTTTTTCCAAAATGTATCTCCATTTGTCATTTCTAATCTGTACTTCAACAGCAGTCCCTAAAAAGAAGTCAAAATTTAATCAGTCTCATGACTTTTAGATCATCAAAGTTTTGGTGAAAAAGTTATCTTTTAGAATTCAATTACAATAGGTCCCAGTTAACTCAAACTCCCAAGGGCAACAAAATTCTCCATTTCACAAGGACAATCATTTTTATTTTAAATTACAACAATTCTACATTCCAATCAAAACAACAAAATACTGTGCACTGTGACTCCTCTTAAAGCAATACAATGTGTACCTATTTATATCTCTAAAAGCACAAAACATCATCCACAAAGCTATATTTTGAAAGCCTGTAAAGAGGCTTTGATAAATGCAAACAATAAAAATGCCTACCTTAGTAGACTTGCAGTTGCTTACAGCTAAATACCACCATCTCTCACGAGAAGATACAAAACGCCTATCTCCTGCAATAAAAAAGTTTAAAAAGTGATATGTAGAGTGTTCTTAAAAATTCAACCCAGTCTTAAATAGCCAATTTGCAGTTGATTTATGGATTTGGTCACTTATAATAATGAACTGGCACATATTCACAAGGGACTTTTTTACAATTTTGTGGTTTTTGGTATGAAAAGAAACTGACCCAATACATGCTCTAGTTAATCCACATTTTGCTAGTTTAATCCTTTTTACACCCTAACATCAGTATGTATTTTCTCCATGCTCTTCTCTATACATTCCCTATGGAACTGACAAGAAGAATTTCTTTAGAAATCCAGAGCTTCTTTTGTTAGTGGTCATGTGGTCATTTCCTTTATTCCTGTGACCTTTATGTGTAATTCAGCAGTGATAATGTGTGGAGAAATTAAATGCTAGTCACTCTTAGAGGTTTAAAAAGTCAAGTAGGAAATTTTCATCATCGTTAGAACTGATCCAAGTGGTGTTACCAAGTATTTCGTGTTTTTTCCTAAGAAGTGTTTTTGTTTAGATCTACAACAAAAACTGTTGATACACTGCCACTGATATCACAATACTTTGGAATACCTCACCAATTTTGTCCCTGAGACCAATCCTTTAACCCACCCTTCCCTTTAACCCTTTACACCCAAATAACGGCATGCATATTCTCCATAGTGTTCTCTACACATTTCTTGAGGTGCTGGCAAGGAGAATTTGTTTAACAATCAAGAGCTTCCTATTAGGTGATAATTTCCTTTATTCTGATGACCCTATTGTATGATTCAGGGGTGATATTGTAAAGAGAAATTAGATGCTAATCACTTTTAGAGTTTAAATAGTTAAACAATGTATAACTGTGTTTGCTATGAAAATCTAACAGTGAATAGGGCAAAGGAGGTGTTGCAGTGAAATGTAGTTCTTCTGAAACTCCATCTATAAAATACTTTGTTCTTCCTTAAAAGTGGTAAATGCAGATTTGATAAGTAAACTAATGTTGTTGCGTATCCCTTTACACCCTAACATCAGTATGTGTATTCTCTTTACTTTCTCTATGTATTTCTAAAGGTTATGAAAAAGAGAATTTGTTTAACAATCAAGAGCTTCTTTAGTTGCTGATAATTTTCCTTAGTCTCATGACTTTGATGTTTTTTTGTCAGGAGAAATTAGATGCCAGGCCCTTTTAGGGGTTAAAGAGATATCATAGCTTTCACTGTGTTATTCTTACCAGTGCACTCTAAGTAAGATTCATTATCCAAATCTTTCTTTTTACATCCAGACCACACGTAACTGGTTGTAAGGTTTATAACTTGGTTATTCCCTCTGTACACCTTGTCTTCTTTATCTAAACAAGGCTGTTGAACAAACATTTATTGTCAGTGATGAGCAAAATTTAATTATTTTTTCATATCTTCCTCAAAATTTCTTAAAGATTGAAACACCCAAAGGTCAAACAGCCTGGAATCCATACCATAATTAATACAATAAATAAATCTGAGATATGGCTGAAAATACATACATGCAAAGTTATATTTAGGCACAATTAAAAGTTTACACTGGCCTTATTCAAAGTGATTCGAAGCATACTCTGTGAAAAGGAAGTTTAATAAAAATTTCACAATTTACCCCACCACCCGAAAAATGCTTAAGATTCATATGATAACAATAATGTATTAATAATAATAATAATAATAATAATAATAATAATAACAATAATATCAATAATACATCAATTATTTAATAATTGTGAAAATTATTGAACTCAAGTCCACAGGCCTAAGGCAAGGTTAAAATGCTTAACTAACTACAAATAATAACTTTTGAGGATCAAAACACTCCCTACTATATATGTTGCTCACAGGTTAATACCAGTAAGAATGTTAAAAGTCCTCAAAATCAAAGACCTACCAATCTTGTTAAAGGCAGCTGACTGAAGTTAAATGGTAAATACTAACTTATTGAATTTTAATTTAAAATTTGTTACTTGATGTCTGGAGTAATTGTTGTTACATATCAAAATGCATTAAACACAGAAAGAACTGCTATGTCACATTTTTATGCCTAATTAATTTGTGGAAAGAGAGGAAAAAGTTCCTAAATTAACCAAGCCGACATGGATCTCAGAAAGGCATCAAAAGTTATATTAAGTGTTGATATTCATTGTGGTGTTATAGGTGAATGAAATCTCACAATGTAAGAGCCAGGCTAATCAATCATGTATTGCTCGCAAGGTTTTGACTGCTATACTACTTGTCTTTCATCAGGGAACAAGCTGGAAAGTTTATGTTTTGCTATTTTAGCACCTTTGTTTGACATTATTACTGGGTTATGGCCTGCTGTCATTGGTGCATTTGGGTCCTCATTACTATTCTGAGTATAAGATCCTGTTCCCTCATAGGAGCACTTTGTGACTTATTGACTGTTATGGTTCAAAAGTTATTGTCTCAGACATGTAGATCTATTCCATATTCTTGATTTTCTGGTTCTGGGAAAAGAGTAAATTCCTGAATACTAGCATCCAAAAAGTAGTAAATCTAAGCCACTATTTTCCCATCCCTTAATATATGATGTGTAAAAACTCCAAAACAGTTCAGCAAAAAGACACCTGTTTCCTAATTGCTGATAGCACTGAGCACTGCATTTACAAAACAATACCATTTGGCAGGTTGTAAATATTGGTTTCACACATGAAATAAATAAGTAGATGACAAAGGTTCCTCATTTAACTGAACTAAGACTTTACCTTTTTTAAAATTAAATCCATTTCAATTTAAGATAGGTTTGTTTTTAAATATATTTTTCATGAGCAAGCTTGCAATTTAATTGATTCTTATGGACTTGAAGACCTAACACCTTGGTTGAAAGGTTGTAGTCATGGGTTTGAATTTACATAATTCAATTTAACAGCCACAAGTGAAAATCTCATTTAGGTATATTACTTTGTATTTTTTTCAAAGAACTGACAGAATCCCACATAACTTAAGGGAAAAAAGGAAAGTTATTTTTAATACCCTAAATTTTCCAAAAAATGTCTTTCATTGTATTCTAATATTTTTTAAGTCAGAGTCTCTATTTGAATGCCTTGCAATGAAGGTTGCTTTTCATTAATCAACAACTGCTGAAATTTGTCAACAGTCTTGAGAAAAGAACAATAAATTAAAATTGTGTTCCAGAGCCTAAAAGCTTTCCTATCAATTATTGCACTTTTTGGAAAAGGAGGTCACTGAATGACAATTGAGGATTTTAATAAAAAAACAAAATTACTCTTAGCTATGATACTTCAAGATTTAATAAAATACAGAGAACTATCTTAAATTTCCAATTTCAAAGCTATTAGAAAGAAAGCAATTACCACATGCTGTTTATTGCCCTTATTACATATACAAACTTTTGTACTAGAAGCTCAACTTTATTCTAGGTCTCATTGTTTCTAGAATGAAACAAATTGGGCTAATACTTTTAAATCAAGTTCAAGCATGTCCCTTTTCAAGTACTGCTAAGACTTTGTGTTTCTTTGGCAATTTTCATTTTTTTTTTATATTTTCTATCAATATTTGTATGCAGCTCCTTCAAGACTATATTATCAAAAGATAAGCCTTGCATACATTTGTTTATGTGTTGATTCTGTTTAATGTGGCAAGGGGAGAACATGATTACTAAACATGTTTTTTGTTTTGCTCCCAGCTTCAAAACAAGAAGAAAAAAAGGAAAACGTCAATAAGTTGAATACAATCTCTATTTCAGGCATTAAATAGAGCCCAGAAGTGCACTTAAACCATGACTGAGTATTTTGAAATATTTTTCTCCTCACCCAGCTCACTTTGTGACAACCATCCAAAGATGAAATAGACTTTTTATGATTAAATGTTGTGTCTGATCTTTAAAGTAAGGAAAAACACCTGTATGTTCAGGAGAACACAATTTCAAAACCTTTCTTCCATTTACTTAAAATATATTTACTACTCTGAACTCTGCTCTACTAATACCATTTTATGCATTGTCTGTTTAGGACCCTGCAGCTTTGAATTTTCTGATCAGTTGAAATTTTTTTTAACTTTTCAAGTTTTTGGAGAAATAAAAGTGCAATAGAACTTTTCAACAGAATTTTTAAAAAAAAGGCTCATCAGCATGATAGAACTTTTCCATATAATTTTGAAAAAGGTTCATCAAAAGGGTCCTTTAAGAAAAATAAAATGAATTACAAAATTGTACAACTGTCAACAGATTCTCAATATTCATGGTCAGTTGCCCTTAATTCACGAGGAGTTATTATTGAAATTGGTGAAAGTATGTGCCTGGAAGGTTCCTTCTGCATGAAAATAATTCAATGGCCAAGGATAAACCTGTCATTAACAGTCCAAGTTTTGAACGAAAAAAAAAGAATTTTGAGGTTCCATGCATGAGACTGCAACCTCAAGGTTTATTAGAATTACAAGTATATTGGTCCACTAGCTCTACTCAAAATATTCATATACCAGATTGTTGTTATATCTTCAACTCCTATAAGTGACAAAGAAATAATTTCTCCCTACAATATCACAGCAACTTCAAGCAGACAATTGATGAGAATAAAGAAAATATCAGTGAGGGATTATCAGTTATCCAATACCACATTCTCAGATCTAACATCACAAGAATTGTGTAGCAGACAGTGAGTAAAATTAGTAAACAGATCTCAGGAAAAAAAAGAGTTTACATCCTTTACAAAGCTTGTAGAGGCACCTGGCATATTATTCTGAGTTTTTTTTGCTTTAAACCACAAATTGTCTTCCCTATCTCAGGACTCCTCTGTTTTACAGACACAAATTAAGAAAGCTACAGCAGGGTTTGAGCTAGTATTTGATCACTGGGGGACAATTTGTCCCCTAAGCAAAAATTTTGGAGGACATTTTCATTTTTAGGGGGACAGACAAATTAATTTTTATTTGACATTTTCTTTTTTTACATTCATACAGGCAAGCCGACAAAAACATTTTTTTTACCTGATCCTTGTAAGACTTGTAATACAAGAAAAGTGATGCAAAAAAGAAAAGTTGTTATTGATGTCAAATTTCTTTTTCTCGTCATATTTAAACAGAGGATCAATGACTATGCTTTATACTTCAAAACATTACACAGCAGAATCTCGTCCCGGCATCGCCTTATAAACTCCAATTCCTTTCTTAATCACTGGTAAACGTAAATGTACTAATTCTTCAGTTGGTTCTAGCCCAAACATCAAGGGCTGTAGAAAAGAGTTGCTGCAGAGTTGAGGTTCTAAAATTTGTACACCCTTCTGCCGTTGCAAAGGGGTTTGTCTTCTTAGATTTCCGACAAAAATAGCAGAACATCGCTTCTTTTTCATAGCGCAACCATGTGTGATCTCGCAACCAAGTTTTCAGGAAAGTTCGTGATTTTTTCGGTTTCCTTCGATCCTCATTCGTTTCTTCCTGATTAATACACTGTTCTTCTTCTGTATCATTTTTCTCTGATTCACTCTGGCTTCGATTGCGAGCGAAAAAGCTTTCTAATGTTCGAACACGTTTTTGATGTGACATGTTACTGCGCTTTTCACAAACATGCGAATTTTGAAGTTCAAAAGCCAACTGACGATTGCGTTTTTCGCTGCCGTCAATCATCTCAACAGAACTCTTAGGAAACAAAACTTTACTTTCACGGGTTCAAAAGGTCATGGTTTGTGATTTGTGATTGGTGGATTTCAATCCGTTTCGTGTGTTTCTGTGTTTCAAGGTTCGTTGCTTGTGATCGTAATTATGATTGAGGGCAGCGAAAAACGTAATTGTGAAGGCGGCTTTTGAACTTTTGAGTTCGCATGTTTGTGAAAAGTGTAGTAAAGATTGCCGCATGCATTCACCACACTTGGTTGAGCATGAGACGTATGTGTTCAGTAAAGTGTGACTGAAAGGTGACTTTAGAATGAACTTTAAACGCGCAAGAAAATATACTTTCCACGTTCTGTTTTAGCTTGCAATTTCTGTACCGAGATAAAACTCTTCGAGTGTGCTTCCTTTCAAGTTTTTCCCCTAAATTTTGAAAGGGACAAATTGTCCCCTTGACCATTTTTTTAAGGGACAATTTAAATTGCAGTGCGGGATTGGCGCAATGGCGCGGCCTGGCTCAAACCCTGCTACAGAATACAGTATCACATTTGTTTTCTCCAGAGGAAATGATAAGATCAAGATTCTTTTAGCAAAAAGAGAAGTGTCCTGGTCCTGAAAAAAAAAAAGGATCTTGAGGTACCAAGCATGAGGCTGTAACTAGTTACCTCATGGTTTATTAGATTTACAAGTACATTAGTCCACTATCTCTACTCAAAATATTTGTAAATACCAGATTATTGTTATATCTTGAACTCCTGTGAGTGACCAATACAGAATTTCTCTTTAGAATACCAAAACAACATTAGGTGAACAAGTGATGAGAATAAAGAAAAATATCCATGAGAGATTATCAGTTGATCCAATACCACATTCTCAGAGTAATAAGGGTTTTCTATCATTCTGTGTAAACTGCAAACTGAGTACTTGAAAGGTCCATGAAGTTAATGCAATGTACACTAAGTGTTCTGTTGACAGAGCACCTTTAAAGGTTCCACAAAAATTTTCAGCTGTATCATACCATAAAAGTAGAAAAGAAAATACTTTCCCAAAATTTTATTTGATCCAGCGAGTCAGCAAAGCATGTTCCTTATATTTGGCCACTTTTATTGGGCCTGTTTTCAAGATCAAAACAAACACCTGTTTATGAAACCAAACAGCCGCGATAGTGATTCTACCAATTTTGGTTGATTTTAGCAGTTTTCTTCAATGTGTATTAAAATACTTTGGCACCTAAGAGTCAATACATACAGTTTTCATTATTTTTGTTTTTGCAACAACAACATGAAATACAGCTTTCTATTTTCGCTTCCTGTTTTGAATGAGGAAATATGGTATTACTGTCAAATACAAAGGAAAGAAATCGTGCTTTTCACCATAAAAATACATAAGGAAACTGTTATAATTATACATGATTTGTCCTGTTGTCTATCTTATAAAGAATTGTCATCGCAAATTCTAACATTATTAGAATCAAGGCATTCAAAATACCCTTCCAATATTCTAACTGCATGTAACGTAATAAATTTGCTGAGTAATGACCAACAAATGTAATGATCTGCGATTGACGTCAAAACTAGTTGTGAAAATAATTACCTGTTTTATTACTCACTCCCGTAGATATAAAAATTACTCTTTCTCGTGACTTATAAAAACAACAAAATGAATAGATCACCAGTTTTCGACTACATACAATGAGTTAAATTTGAGAAAGGAGGAGAAATTGCGTCACTAGCTAGCGTATGTTTTTAGGTAAATACAAGAAAAAGCTTACCATTTCAGGTTTAGGGTACACTCTAGGCCACTGAGTGTCGAAGTAAAGAAAAATATTCTGTGTAGCATAAGACTGCAAGAAAAAAACATATAAGCTGGAGCATGAACAAACAGGTCTCACTACACTCGCAATATAAGGAGAAGCAGCATGCGACTTCAAACGACAATACTTCGACGATATTTGTGGTATCCTGATCAACAACATTCAAACAATTCATCCATCGAGAACTTACCTCTGGGTATTCAAAATGATATATAATTTCTCCAATTGAATCTTTGTAACAAAATCTCGTCAAAAAACTCCAATCCTAGAAAAATTCAAAGGAAAGCGGAGCAATTAGCGAAACCCCACGATCGCTCGAACGCGCGCGTTCCAATCTTGAATTTAATTTGAGGTTCCACAATACACCAATCTTGTCATTGAGTGGACTTACTTCTTTCGTGTCTATAGTTCCTTCTACTATTTTAGGACACGTTCTTTTCACGTAGATTAACGTTATACAGAACGTTATAAGCCAAGGTCGTGGTCCCGTCGCCATCTTTTTTTTTTTCCAATAACATATGCAAATTGACAAGGTTGCTTTGAATTGCTCGTGACAATCTGTGTGTGAGTTGCTAGGTAACCATTTAAATGCAAACACTCACAAGGACCTTCTTCACACCAGAAACTGGGTTTTCAGCGCCAATACATTGTTTATATAAAATCAGGAATCGACCTATTCATACAACTATGACTGTAATATACAATAAAATAAATCACGAAATTTACTCTAGTGTTTCTTGTTAGTTTGACTATTTACTCATTCATTCAAGTATCATATACGTAATTCGTTCCAGTGTAACGAACAAGCACAATAGTTATTGACGCAGAAAGTTCTAAATACTTGGTTGCAGTCAAAAATTGAAAATGGTGAAATTTTTTCATTTAGTTCTCGGAAAAAAATTAAAAAGAGGAAGTGAGTGCTAATATGTGTTACATCCGATGAAATATCACTTTAAAATTTTCGCGGTAATTCACGGTTTCTATTTCTCAGCGCCCCACATTTCTGTCAAGCCTGACATTTTGGACAGTCTGTTGCTTTTAAAACAGCCATGGCAAGGCATTTTGAGAAATTTGACAGACTTTGAATGAAGCTATCGCAAAAAATTTAATTTTTTTTACTTTGTCTTTCCACTCCCGTTACTCTATTAACTTCGATCTTAGCTGGCTGACACCTGCTGACCAATTTCCCACGCCAAACCTGAAAAGTTACACTCAATACAGCGCAATTATTGCCACATTACCAAAACGATTCGCTCAGCAAAACTCATACACATATTACTGGAAGAAATAAAAGAAAAAAATCAAATTACATTCAAAATTCACATGACATGAAGGTTTGTGTGCAACAGAAGTTCAGCCTGTGGGAAGTGAAGCTTAATGAAAAACAAGGATAAATCCACGGTAATAAGACAAGAGACATTCTCGTACCACCAGTGGAATAAGAACTTCTTAGAATAAAATCGGGTTCCAGAGCCTTATAACCCATCAAAAGCAAACAGTATAGCTAAAGTTTTCTGATATCCACTGGCTTATCATCTCATATCACACTACTGTGTGGCCTAGTTAAAAGCCCAATTCACGGAGTGCTTTGGAGCGCTCACCTTCTATGCATCAATTCTTTTTCATGAAGGAAATATGAAGAAATTATCGTTTTTCAAAGGAAACTTTTCAGAGAAAAGAAAAACCGTCAGGGCTATTCCTTTATCGAAAAGTCACTTAAGTTTTTGTTTCGTTCCACCGTTGCTCTGCGTAAAAATGTGAGTCTGATCTAAAAAAGTAGCTATTTTGCTTGAAACAGGAAAACACAAGTTCTCTTTTGTGATCTACTTAACTTTTCATACTGAGGCTTCTCTCCGAATTGACTCGATTAAAAACTTCAGTTTTGCATTCATTAACTCATTTTTTTCTGTAGCTTAATACGGGTTAGCTTCAGTTGTTTCTACGGGTAAGCGAGATACGAATCAGCAAAATTAAGCCGTGTTTTCTTTTGACACTGACTGACTGACTGACCGAAGCAAAGTCTAGTTTACCGAATGAATACATGAAAACAAAGTAGAACCGCAAAGTCCCCAGGTGTCAATCAATATTCTTGCACTTTTAAGATTATCTCAGGATTATTATTCATCAACGGGCACTGCCTGTACCATTCTCCGCTATAATTGGTTAATCGATTGGTTACTGCGCAAAATGTAGGACCCAGGTTCCCAAAGGGGAGCCACCGATTTGTTTCAGCAGTAGGTCTTGATTTGGACAGCGGAGATCACCTCCCATTACGTTATCTTCTCAAATTAGTTCAATTCCAAGCGAACGAAATACGAGCGAACTGCGAGCTTGACACATTTATGGAATCATTATTACATAACAAGTAAATTTGTGTGGTTTTCTGAGTATATCCGACAACCATATGATTCTTAGGAATCAGCCAGGTTTTATAGAACATCAGTGTAAAAAAGTAATAGCGTTTAACGTTTAAATGATATCATCACAAGATTGAACTCGCATATTAAACAGAGCTGTATTAATTATTGATGACGTGTTGTTTTCACTTTGCTTTTAAAAATTAAAATAACATCGACCTATGCTACTAACAAAATTACTTTTTGAAAGAATGGAGCTTATAAGACGAAGCCAAAACGAATATTACTAAATCCCGAAATTTGTTTTAAAAGAGGAAATATTACGGGGCAACTAGCAAATCAGTAAGCAATTCTTCTTTAAATAACAGAATTTATTCATGTCATTTCGGGCGAGGACAGCTGAAAGCCATTCATTTACTGGCTTCGTAGGTCAAGGTAAGCATTAATATATTCGATTTTCCTTTTCTCCTATTCCCTTGGAATAGATATCACTGACAACAGTCTGTAGCTTGAATGAAATAAGGAAAGGGATATTTCCGAAGCAGGAGGGTGGCTGAGACATAGGGAGACTCATACAACCCTTACGAGGTATTTCTTTTAATCATTATTATTATTTTGTAGTTTATGTTTAGGTTTAAATGTTCTTTGCTGTGTAAACAAACAGTTGGTCGACGTGATTTTTATCCAGAAACATCTTTTTCCTTTGGGTTTTGCACAGTAGTTCAGTAAGGGTTATTTTCGAGAATAACCCAAAATATGCCCTACTTTGTTTTACCTCTGGAGAAGACAAAAGTGAGGGTTTTCCCGGGCTTCTCCTTCAAGACACGTAAACGCAAGTGCTTTCAACTACGCTGTTGAAATTTCGTGCATAGATATGCACGGTTTATCAAAAGCACGTTCACAATAAAATAAAATGCAAATAAACAAGCTGTACAAAAACTAATCATTTTCGCTCAACGCACGTCACTTTCGTCATCTCTAATTTTAACCAGAGCTTGCTGTCTCATCGCTGTATGACCAGTAATCAGTAGTGATTTGAACAACATTCAATTTCAGATCTCAAGCATCTATTCAGTCAAGGTAGGGAGCTGACGGTTCAAGAGCCAAAACGAAATACTGCTCATGTGATTTAGGTCAATGTCTGAAGTTTAGATGTTCGTCATCCATCTTGTGATCGCCGTGTGATCCAGTGGAAAGGAACTGGATAGTCACCCACAAGTCATGCCCTTGTTAGTATATTTTTGTCAGTTTTTATCTATGTCTAATATTTTTTTAACCTTCCGCAACATTTAGAAATAAAGGGGGTGACAATTGTCGAACAAATTAGGATTTTGTTGAAAAACAACGTAATTTATAGACTTTGATAAACACCGATCCACTTTTTTCGTCTCATACATGGCTGTTTTGTTTCCGAAAATGCGAATCTGTTTTATGGTAATATTGCTGTAAACAGAATTATTTATTATCGTTGTAAAGTTGTAACAAAACACGATGTCCTTGTAACCTGTTCGACTGAACTTTCGCCTTTTCTAATCCCGGATATGTTCTTTGTGTACCGAAGATATTTCTAGAAAGATTGTAGTATTCAACTTCACACAATTCTCGACGGGAAATACGACATGCTCTTTCAATTTTCGTTTTGTTTCAAATATTCACAGCGTGCAAATAGTGCTAAAACCACTACAAGCGCACGGAATGCCTTGGAAAAGGAAAAGCTTCTTCATGTATATTTTAAGTTCTGTTTTCTGTGTAGGGAAACTATAAATGGAACCGGAGGGGGCGAATTAATTTAATTGTTACTGTCACGAAAAGGTGAATTGTGTACGTGAATATGAGAGAAAATGTTTGCTGGGATGATTCATCAAATAGAAATAACGAAGACACCTTTCTGGTTGACAGGCTTACTATATGATAATTTTCTGCCTTTTGGCTCCGAGAATAATTCATGATTTTCAACTAGACAACTGTGCTTATTTGCCAAGATGCTTTATGTTAGTTCGCGCAGACGTGTAATAGCCATACCAAATTTTTGATGCCTTTTTGGATAGGTTGTTTTTTGTTTTGTTAAAATTAGCTTTCTCGTGAGTGATTTTACATGTCATCACGTAGCGATCTGGATTCTCTGGACTTTCGCGCAGAAAGATGCTCTATGCGTTTATTCGTTGCCCAGCGTTTATTGGCCAGAAGCTTTGTTTAGATTTTTACAATTGTCACACATGTGAATGAGTTTACCAAGTGGCCAATCAGCGTCGAGAACGGCTCCATTCACAGAAAGACAAGCAAATTCACGGTTTATTTTCGAAATGTTTCTGTACGAGAGCAATCGTTCGCCTCAAGCGGGGCCGCTTTCCTTCGAATTGAATTCTCTCCATTCTGTATTGTGACTCCAGGTTTGTATTACAGAGATGTGACCTTGTTTTCCACAATCGATTCTCCGTAATGTTGTTTTGATGTTATATTGTCTCTGACCGCTACTCCAGTGCGCTACGCGTAAATTTTTTCCCTCTACGACCTTGTAACTCGAGCTATCTCCACGTATTCGATTTGTAGATTTTTCTCGGTTCCTTTTTCATTTCGATATTTTCTAACACAACTGTTTCCTTATTTGGCAGGAACGTGGATGAAGATCTGAGCGCCAAAGGTAAATTCGAAATTTTTACTACACACCACTTGATAATTCTACGTCGAGCGGACAAGTCTGGGCTTATTGAGCGACATTTTTTTGTTCCATTCATGATTGCAACTTTATTGTGTTGCGAACCGTAAAAAACCAGACGGCCAAGGTTATGTACCGATCGAAATTATCAGCTTAAAATCAAGGTAAAGGACCTGTTTAAAGATTTTTTTTGAGCAAATTCATCTCCAAATCGAAATCCGGCCAAAATCCTATTTATGGCTCCTTCAAAAGAAGCTTGTCAGCTGGTTCGTTAGAAAATCGCAGCTGATCTTAGCCGTTTTTCTTCACATCTTTCAGCGTTCGGTGCAACTTCGATGTTTTAAAGAGATCTTAGTCTAAGTAGTAGTACTTTTCCACAAGATCTCATGGTTGACTTTACGGTTCGATCCTATGAAGAATAGCATCGCGGATATTCATGCTAAACGCAATATTCAGATGTATCCTGTGTCACCTTGTTTTTAGCTGTCATACCGTTAAAATCGCAGCTTCGTTTAAAACCTTTATTCTGGCCGCCCTTTTTCTCGATTCTTCAAGAAATTTATCCACTCGAATAAAATCCTGCTGATTTTGGCGACAATCGAGCGAAAGCAAATCTTTTTTCGTAGTACACGTCCTGTGATGTCGTGTACGTCAATTTTAGTTTCCTTGAATTTGTAATTAGTATACAACCGAGACCTATCCACATTTTGAAACATTCTGCTTTAAAAATGGCAGTTTCTCCGTACACCCAAGATGGTTTTATTCAATCGTTCAATTTCCGATACGCCAAAATAGCTGATGTGACTATCTATGGAACCTTGTAGGAAAAAAACACCAAAATGTATATTCATGAATTCGAACAAAATTGACTTTGTTTTACGCAAAATCTATTTAGCGATGCCGTTAATTTTCTCGCTTTCGTCGTTAATACTTACGAAATGTTTTGTCCTGCAGAGAACATGAATCGGAAAGCGAGAGTCCGGCGTGGAAATCCTGGAAAAAAATCAAATGAATACAGTTTTGCCTCAGAAGATACAAAGATCGCTCCATGTGATAATCAAGATATTTCCAATGTCAACAATCAACTGTCAAGAAATTCGGCCAAACGAAATCTATCGAAAGAAATTGACCAAGAATCGCACAGTGAAACACACGAGTTGTATGCACGAGATGAAAAGGGAAACAGAAACGGAAATATGGACGGACGTCCCTTTGTTCCTGCCAAGTGCACCTCCACGCCAGCTGTTTTGCCACAAGATTCAGATTTTAAACCGAAATCTCCACAGAAGAGGAAAAAGGCTTGTGAGGAAGGAAATTCTCTAAAGAGGATTCCAAGTGGAAGCAATCTTTCTGAAGGAAACATTAATCATGCAACATCTTCAACTGTTGTCAGGCATTTGGCTTTTCCAGAAAACAACAATGTTGCAAACAATGATTTGCTTGAAGAGGAAAATACAGACAGTGCCATTTCTGATGAGGAAATAGAGAGTGGATTTGAAAAATTTAATAACCGACAGAAAACTCCAAGACGGCCTGTAAGTGTAAACCGTGCAGAAAACATTGTCTCTCGCACGCCAACTCCCACACAACAGAAATACAAGAAGGGGGACATTGTTCAAACAGAGAATGGTGTGCGCAAAAAATTTAATGGGAAACAGTGGAGACGGCTTTGTTCTCGGGAAGGATGCAACAAGGAATCTCAGCGAAGAGGTTATTGTTCTCGTCATTTGTCATTAAAGGGCAAGTCATTGACAAAAGGAGTTGGGATTCCAGGACAGAAAAAAGGAAAATTACATGGGAAAGAGCTCACATGGGAATCTGGAAATGAAAGTGAGGGAAGTGTGGAAGGAGAAGTATCCAGCAAAGGAAATGACCATTACAAAGACTTGAATAATAAAGAAGCAGAAGCGGCTTTTTCACTGGTGTCACTGAGTAATTCCAGGTGTGCAACACCATTTTCTAACCCAGCCACACCTTTACCCATTTCACCAGTTCTGGGTCAGTCCCCATCCCCCTCACCATATGGTAACTGCTATAACCGCAGCTTAACACCAGGCCAGCATCGTTCCGTAACACCAGTGAAAACCTGGGCTACAACCACACCACGATCAGGAAGGTCTTCAAGTGCAGAGCTTCGTTCACCATTCTTCTCAAATGGTGTGTCATTATCAAATGCAGTTAGTCCAGATTCTGGTATTCTCTGCCGTGAAGAGTCTGGAAGTCGTGCTAGTAACACATCATCCCTCATGTCTCCTTTACCATTGCTCTCACCCATTACTCCAACAAAGAGAACATTCTCTCCTATTTCTCCTCCAGCAGGTACATGTCGCTCATTTTCCCCCATTCCCCGTATCCCTCCAGCAATTACAGGCAAAAGGACAGTGTCATTACCTGCACCATCAGCAATTACGCCACCCAGAGATAAAGCAGGAAGAGTGATGTACTCTCCAATACCTGCCCAGCCACTGCCATTGACTTCAAACAGTACATTTGTCCCTTTTTCGCAAGATACTAACAAGAGAGGTCAATCTGATCAGGAGAAAACAATGGAAAGTGAAGATGACAGAAATTCTGCATCAGAAACTGTGGAAGATGGTACTGAAGTAAAATTGGAAGAGAATTTGCAACCAAAGGAGGATCAAGATGTATACACAAAAGATAGACAAACTGAACCAACAGAGTTAACTCCTAAAGTGATATTACCTCCAGTTCAACTGAATACAATTCAGATTTCTGTCTATCCCTGGCAGTGTTTGTTACCGCAACTCTACCATGTGCCTGTGAACAGCTCGCATCAGAAGGAAACATACGATGTTAATGTCTCATCACATGGAGGACAAAGCACCACTAATGAGCTGACTAAAATGGACAGAAATGAAAACCCAGGAAGTATGTCACTGGTAGGAGGTGAAGGTGCTAATCATGGTATAGGAGGGGACAGGAAGTTAGAAAACAAAACATCTGTCACTAGTGGACCAAACACAAGGAAAAGAGCACGGTCCACCTCCATTAGTTCTCAGGATGAAGGAAAACCTCCTGCCAAGATACCGGTAAGTAGCATGGCAAGAACACAATAAAATAATGGAATAAAACGTAAAATTTTAAGAAATCAGTATGTAAAATATTGTTAAAAAATCACCATAATTTTATGGGGATGATACTTAATTTCTGTAAACTCAGTGGTATACAATTACCCTTTCTTCACTCTTTTAATTATGGAATTCTCAAAGATGCAGCATTTATTATTTGAAGGGTCAAGTGAAACATTAGACCCTAAGTGTCCTCTTGACTGAATTCTCAATAGACTTCAAAAAGTAATTTGGTTGTGTAAACAATTGTGGTCTAAAATCTCCTCTTACTTTTACAGAATGTTGCAACCTACTCTAATTTGATAGCTGGCCATCATACATAATTCCCTAGGTCTGTTTATTTGCTTGAACATGGTTACAACTAGCTGCAATGTTAAACCCCCTTTCTTTTTCTGGATTTGCTTGTTTCAGCAACTGAAGTGATCATCTCTCAACCATAAGTCTTGTTTGATATTAGTAAAACTTTGATTAAAATGGAAGAAAAATTTGTTGCAGTTTTAATTTTTTGCCACTTTCTTTAAAAGTTCATAAAATCTTCTAAGATGGTTACTCTCCAAAACCCTTCATTTTATGTGAAAAGAATTCTGTGCATAATGTTAAGTGAATTGTATGTAACCATTTGAATAAAGGAATATTGATATGCTTGGTTGCATCAGGTATTGTAATAATTTGATAGTTGGCAAAAGTTTTTCTCTGAAACAATTTTACTTTGGTAATTTGACATTTGTCCTTTTTTTAATTGTAAGGCACCTAGTTATCAAGCCAAGCAGGAGAAGGAACATATTCGCCGTCCAATGAATGCCTTTATGATCTTTAGCAAGCGTCACAGGGCTCTTGTTCATCAGAAACACCCTCACCAAGATAACAGGACTGTGAGTAAGATTCTGGGTGAATGGTGGTACAACCTTCCTGCTAAAGACAAACAGAAATATGTGGACCTTGCAGCCCAGGTGAGTCTGATGACTGAGTCATGCTGAATTGTACCTGATTGCATGTTGCATGTCTTTTTTTTAGTTTGTTTGTTTGTTTTTTCAAATTTGCCACCAAAGCATTAAACTGTATTTTCTCGTAGTCTACAGGCATAATGACCCATGCAAGATGTTTGGAGAGCACTAGAACTTTTTCTTAAAATCATTTGCCTACAGCTCATGACTTAAATTTTTTAGTGTTTTCTCAACATCCCAAGTGGGTGATTATATTGGTAAAACTATGAAAAGTGTGGTTTATTGCTTTAATAAACTAAATTAAAACAAAAAAATTTCCCATGGATGTAGTCCTGCAATACACTATGGGTTTTTGATCAATGAGGGTGCTGGTAATGGTTTTTTTATGATGCTAAATGTGACTCAGTATTCATTAAAACTGGGATTTGTTAAAAAAAGTTGGTAATAACTTGAAGTTTGGTTCTTGAGCTGAGAAACTCCTTCCCACCACAACCCTCAGCTCCAAATCAAGAGATCTCCCCAAAGGCTTTATTACAGCAATAACAGTGTGATTTATTTGTTCTATTGCCAATGTAATATTAACAATAATAGTCTATTTTACAGTTGCATGCTTAGTTTCCAAGCCTTTGAACTGGAGTGAGGCTAAGGGTGACCTTGTTATGATACAAACCTTGCTGCCTTTCAAATGTAAATGACTTTGTTATCATGCTAACTAGATACTGGTCTCTATCACAACATTGTCAACTTCAGCCTCACTCCAAATCAAAGGCTTGGCAACTAAGTACACAACTAAAAAACAAGGCCTATTAGTTATTATCAATATTTATATTAATTGTCGTCAGGTCAAAGAAGCTCATTTTAGGGCTTACCCACACTGGAAGTGGTGTACAAAGGACAGAAAAAAGTCTCCTCGCAAAGTCTCTGACAGAACAGAGTCAAGTGATTCAGTGGGTAAGTACAGATCTGTACCCAGCATCAACACTCTTTACAGATAATGGTACTTTTATCTACTAATTTATGAGAGATTATGGCAATAAACTCAATTGCTGTTTTTAAATGATGCATTATTACAACTTGAATAGCTTATTGGGGTGTATAATAGGACATTAAAGGGACAATTTACACATCATGCCTGTGTAAGTAGACAGAATGCATCACAAGCATGCACTGTTGTCTTGCTTTTCGCCAAGTCAACTGTTCTTTTTTTTTATGAAAACATGTAACCATTGACTAGTTTCTTTCTCAAATGTTGTCATGGTTTTGATTAATTGGTAATGGGACTTTGTGTTGTCCAATTCTGTCTGTAATCACACTCATGATTAACAAATCGGACTTCTGCTTTGTAGCTGTCGGATTTTGTCAATCACTCATGATTACAGACCAAATTGAACTCCACTCTGTCCTATTACCACTATTAAGAATTGAATGTTATATCTGACAATGAGGTAATTTGAAGCAGCGAGTGACCTTCATCATTGATTTTGTTAGGCCTTGAGAATTTAATTTCCTTGTGCAGTGGCATTTAATCACCAGACAAATGATGTCCATTGTCTCCTTAAAATTTGATTTTGAAAAATGCAGTGTAAGTTATTTTTGACATGGTCTGCATATTTTCCACTTTCTGACTTTAGGGGGAGATGGAGTGGAATTAAACAATAATGAAGAACAAGAGGTAAGAACAAATATCTCTGTCATTTACAGTACATTACATCAAGGGTGGTGATAGTAATTTTTTTTGGTCACTTTTGTTATCTTTGACTTTATTTCTGAGTTTTAAACAGATTTGATAATCAATAATTGCTTTTACAGGGCGTTTTTGACAATGAGAATGACGAAACAATGGATGCTAAACCAAGGCTCAGAAGTAAACGTTCATTGAGCACACCTGCACACGAACAGGATCCATGTCTGAAGGAAGCTGTACACAGGCCCTACACCCCACAGCCAGTCCCAACAACACAGCATTCACTCTTTGAGCTTGCACAGGTAGTCTATACTGTTACACCTGGATGAACACGAGTTCTTTATTTCAGATGTCACTCCCATGAGTGACTAACATGTAGTTTCTCCTTACAATATCCATACATTATCCATCTTACAGGTCATGAGAATACTCAAAATTATCAGGTAGAAGTCGCTATCTTGGTCTAACACCATATTATTGTAACTATTTTACAAGGAAATTCTAAGCAGCTAGAGGGGAGAATTAACAATCAGATCGTGGGAGTTACAGGTTTTGCTCAAATTTTTTTTTCTTGTTGTGGTATTTGAAATATATCGACCAAATCAGGCTTGGCCAGGAAGAAAAACATACCTTGAAATTGTTTAATATTTGATATTAAATAACTGTAATTTCCTTAAGTTTTTGACTGGTTTTTAATACAGCAAACATCAGTAAAACATCATGCTAAATAGCGTTTTCTTAAACTAATGTTCTTTCGATTCATTTCAGATGTGTTCCGAGTTAGATGATAAGACCAACCCACCAACAAAGCCCCCAGTGTCAAACAATAAACACATCACATTTGAACAAGGGACCAATGATGGGATGAGTGAATCAGAGGATGATGATATTGGCTCCGAGGAACTGATGTGCAATGAGAACATTGATGTTAATGACAAAGAGTCGGATGACTCCGATGAGGAGGAGCTGACCAACAGGGTGTTTCCACAGCAGAGGTTCTCTCCAGTACCTTTTACGGCAAGACGAAGCCAGACACCAGACCTTGGCAAGATCAGGTATTCCCCTATTGAATTCCCTGCCAAGAGAGCCGTGACCCCGAACATCTATGAACAAATGATCTCTAAAAATCACTCACAGGACATTTCTGGCAAAACGGCGTCCAAAGTGGTGGACTTTAGTTTCAGGGCACCAAAAGGGCTACCTCATTCAAATAAAAGTATGGACAGAACCACTGAAACTGCACCATCGCAGAGCAGTCAGTTCGTACGCCCAAAGCTGCCGATGGCAAAGACGTACTCTCCAGGACTAAAAGTCAGTGGCTATTTTCAGCCAACTGGTTCAGTTTTTAGACCAAGCCAACCGTCCAGTGGTACTGCAAGCTCTAAGAATGCGATGTGTGCCAATGAGAGTGCCCCCAAAGCTGCTGTGAGCACATCTGACGTATCTCATGCGTCATTTTCACAACCGGTGCTATTCCCAAGTAACTTTACCAAATACTCTCCCGCTACAAATTTGTCTTCGACTAGTTATTCTGCACACGGATCACAAGTGAAACCAAACAGAGGAACCAGTCATGCTGGGATGGAGCCAAGCAAAAGTCAGACCGTCAAAGTGATGGAAAGTTCGCAAAAGGTTCCAGTCACTGGTCAAAACGAAACAAGGCAATCACAAGGAGCCACGTGCGTATCTACCACTGTTCCACTGGCCAATCAAGTGGCTTGGGCAGGTGCTTCGGATTCCAGTTTCTTATCTCCCCTAACAGTCTCTGTGGCTACTCACACTGCTCCACCATTTCACAAAAGTAGTAAAACTACACTAGCTCTTTCACCAGTTGCCAAAGGGGTTCAGTTGAAGCCGATTGCACCAATGTTGTCCCCTCCTTTGTTGGCCTCATCTCCCAGTGGAGAAAAAGCATCCCAGAGAGTTCTTCTCGCCAAAAAGCCAACAGGACACCCTTCAGGAAAAATGGAGGCAAATCGAAGTATGCAACAAGGTTTTCTCTCCCATGGAGGGTTGGGTTATTGCAATATAAGCCCCGCTGAACCACATGCGGGTACTCCACTTCTACAAAACCCGCCAAAGCCAGCACAAGGCTCCTATCACCGACAAGCTCATGTCGGCAACAGTAACGTGCCACCACGATCCGCCCCGCTATCTCCGAAGGTGCCGTCAGCCAGTGCGTCCCTCTTGTCCCCAAAAGGGAGTAAAGGTATCCCAGAGAACTTTCCCAAAACTGAGGCTGCTGCGACCTCAACAAGTTATGCACAAGGTCACCCAAGTAGCCACAGACAACCCAGCAAGCCTCAGCCTGATAACTGCAGTGAAGGACAAGCAAATCTTGAGAGAAGTGATATACACACAACCCAGCAAATGGGAAAGCCTATACTCAAGAGGTTTATAGCTGACGGAATGGAGGAGTAAGTTCCCATTTCGTGAATAATCTGTTTATTTCAACTGTCATGCTTTACAAAGGTTGGGCAACGCTATCCACTGGATAAAACTCTATACGATGGATAACGCTATACGTTTTGCTATCACTTACCCATCGGATAGCAATTTATCCGTTAGATAGCGATGTCCGACCTTTAGACGACTGCGCCCTGATAACTAAACCGTCATCTTGAACACAGGCTGTGGTTGTGGTTGCTTATGGTGAAAGCGTTTGTGGAACTGGCGTTCAGTTCGGTTGTGGGCCATGAGCTTAGTCTCAAAAAGTGATCAAATTCTGCCTGTTCTCAAATCCATAATTTTCGAACCTTTGTTTTATTTTACAGAGTCTTATCTGAGGTGAATTTCGAGAGGCAATTTGCGCAGCTTCCCGAATATTCACCTTACCATCGCCAAGCTCGGGATGGCAGGTCAACAAACAACAAGCGTGGGGTCTTGACAGCAAGTAAACCGAACGCTGACGATTCTGGCAGTCAATCACCTTCTCAGGAAAGGTCGTCTTCTGGTACCGGTTCATCAGAAGAAATCTTCCATGGCGCAGGTCACCGCACAACGAGCATGCCAAGTCTTGACGCGCTGGCAGAGGTCGCCGTCCTGGAACAAGGACTGAAGGATGCTGATAGGGAAGACAAGACAGAACCAGGCAGTCCCACTCTCTCTCCTCATAAGAAGCCAATGGATCAGAGACGTGCCGTGGTTCTTCAGCTGTTTCAGGATCATGGCTACTTCCCTTCTGATGCAGTGACGACTGTCTGTCAGCAGCGGAATGCAGATCTCTTCCAGACGAAGGGAGCGCTGCAACTCAAGATACGAGAAGTGCGACAAAAGATCATGCACAAGAGTGGTGGAGGAAATAGCAAGTAAGCTGTACTTAAAATACTAAATCGTGTTTTGTATTGTTTTTTTTTTCTACGTTTAACGTTGCAAAGGTACCGCCTACACTGATGGTGTAGACATATATGACTTGCATAGATTCAGTGTTAAAGTGTTTGGTTGTCTGATCTGATTAACATATTGAGCTTTTTCAGGAGTTTTGCATTAAGAGTGCACATAATCATGCACTTTTTTTTGTTTTTTACGAGACGTCTAATTGGATTTTGAAATACCAGTTGATAAGAGTGTTGGGAAATTCGAAGTTTAGGACTCAAGGATAACTGACCAATTTTATGGCTTTTCGTTACTTTAAAGGATCTTACCGCAATATTTGCTATTTGTTTCCCGAATATATATTTTTGTCCCTCATGGGAACTTACCCTTTCTCGGAAGAAGTGGGACTTTATCCCCTCTTAGTAGAAGCTTCTCGGTTGATTAACGGGAAGTAGGCTTCGCTAGAATTTGGAAGAGATGTTCCACCATTCCCTCTCCCTTTGACGTCTTTCCCCCCTCCCCCCTCCCCTCCATATAAACCTCTTCGTGGATAAATCATCCACGAAAGTGTAGTTCATTGACAAACGTAAATAGTTTTAAAACTCAGCATAGGTATATTTGCCATGTAGTACTGTCATGTAGAGCTACCAGTAAGTAGTTATAGGTTAATACAGTCAATCGTCCTCTTTTGCAGTACATGGACATGATTGCATAAAATGTTCGTAGTTTGGCCGAACTCTAGTACCCAGTTGACGTGCGTTCAATTTATATAAGGACAGCTATACAAATGGCAAGAAGTAGGACACATTGACTCTCTATAAAGTATGTTACTTAGTGCCATTTACTTACAGGACTTCCATACGTTGTCCACCCCCTAAAAAGCACTTAACTACTATAGGAAAGTACCGTATTTCCTCGAATAGATGCCTGGGCGCTTATTTACAATTTCGGCTTAAAGGAGGAGCGCTCAATAGAGGAAGGTGCTTAATCAAGGGGTGTGCTGTGTGCTTATTAAGAAATTATTCACCTGTACTGATTCCGTGGCAGGGTTTTCCTTGTATCCCAACCATTTAAGAAATAAGGGAAAAGGGTGGGTGCTTATCCTAGAGGGGCGCTTGTTTGACAGAATGACCTCGTGGGTTGACGCTTATTTTGGGAAGGACGCTTATCAGAGCGTTCACATATATTCGAGGAAATACGGTATTCCCATAACTATACATAACAGGTTATTTATCTTCTTTCTCCGGTGATTTCTGCTGTGATTCCAGTAAATGGACTTCGCTATAGCATTATATGATAAGCTGAAATATACACGCAATTTGATTGGTTCTTACTTACGATCTATTTAAGGACAGACGTATAGATGAAGTCATCATTAACATTTTGCTTCTCTTATCTTATAAAACAAATAGACTGCATGTTGCCATGGGTCTGTGCAATAACTGATAACAGAAGACGTCAAATGTGGTGAGGATATCAGGGACGCACTCAGCCGCGCCCCTTTTTTGTTCGTACCACATTTTGATGTCATCTGCGAACTTTTACTGAACAGGTGCTTAGCAACTTGGAATCTGCATGTTTAATATAGTTCAGTTAGTACGCCCCGCAGTGGTGTACTTCTCGTGTTTGTGTTACTGAAAGCTTATGATGTAGTGTTACATATGTAAATTAACTTCCATTAAGTTGTTACAGTGGAGACAGGTCTTGCTATGTGTAGGCCAAAAGCAGTTTTAGAACTGTACTTAGCCTAGCTTTCTTACCGCTAAGGTATATTGCTATTTTCAAAGGAGACTTGTGCGAATTGTTGCTTGTTTTGTTATTGGTCACCATAAGGTATTTATTGACTGCGTGTTAGTCGCCATGTTGAATGTTATTGATTTAGTGCTCGGTCCTTCAACGATTGTTTGCGAAGGAGGGACTCGAAACATCTTCGGAAGATTCCATTCAAAATGGCGTCTGACACGTGTTCATTATTGAGTGAACTTGTTGTATGGTGTGTTTTATTTATTGAGTTCAGAGACGTGGTGTGTATAGTTGTAAGATAAATGCAATGGCTTAAGTGATTTGAGGATGGATGTACATATGGTGAATTAATTTGTTTTTATCGCCCATAGATAGTTATATAGTATGGAGTCTGTTGTTATGGAATTTTAATGATTAATGAAGTAAGGTATCAGTATGGAGTTAGAAGGACAGATTTTCAGTTAATTATGCTTTTAATGATAGTATTGCGTGAGTATGATTAAGGTTGTGTCATTTTTGCCTTTCCACATTCAAAGAACTTTACATTAATTGCGTGACAGAGAGTGTTTTAAATTTTTTATTACATCTGAATGAGCGTGACTTACGTGACTCTTCAGTCAATGGAGGCTATGGCGGCTCTGTGAGATTTAATCGAGTTTTTGCTTCTCTTTGATCGATAAATTTGCAACTTAGGTGATAAAATATCCAAATGCATCGGATAAACCGAATAATTTGAGAAGTGGCCACTATCTCATAGTGCCGTCAGTCCGTGGCATTTAACGATGCATGGCAACCAGAAGGGGCGAGAAGTGTAAGCAGCAGGTTGCATTTTTACTTGACCAATCAACGTCTCGGAAACTCCTGCGCGACAAACTGTACTTCTCACTTCAGTGGTACTAAGGGAAAGATTTTCCTTTCTTTTTTTTTTTTCGTTTTGTATTATTATTATTATTCATTATAAGGTAAACATTTTTTCGTAACCGTACCATCCCTCTTCAAGTGATAGGTCTCAATGAAGTATGGTACAGAATGTTAGACGCATATTTTGCTGGTGAGTGTAATTTGGGAGCCGCTCTGAAAATAGTGATTATTAAATTAGCATTTGGATATAGGCTTAAATGTGATTACAGCATGGTTTTTTTTGTTTAATATGTATTTCTAGCAAAAATGTTTGCATTTGAACACCGCATGTTTTGCCACTGTTGGTGACCTTTTTTATGCTTGTGTGTGCATTCGTTCGTGCGTGTGCGTGTGCGTGTGTGCGTGCGCGTTCGTGTACGTGCGTGTGTATGCTAGGATAGCCTTAATGTCTTAGTTTGCGGTAGATTTATAACCAGAGCATTTCTGTTATCGTATTTAATTCTTTTACATCGTTGAGAGGCGCTCCTTACGGTGCACAATTTATGCGCTAATTGTGTGAGTTTTGTAATCCCAATCAGGAATGTGCGTTTAACTTTTATGACTTTGATGTTGTTATTAGTATTCTTGATTTCAGAGACCAAAGTCTTAGGACTGCGCATGACCATAACTCGTCGTCAGTCATGCGCACTCGAATAGAATACTGGATTGGAGTTAAATCAATGGATTCTGTGTAATTTTCCGACCCTAACACGTAGATAATAAGGCACCAGCTGTTTCCTGCCTAATGTAATTATTAAGCTCTAATAATAACAAATTAAGAATACAGAAGTCTTAACTAGACAAAGATGGGAAACAACTCAGAACATAATTGTTTTGAATGGAGACAAAAATGTCAGGAATTTGCAAAGTTTTCATTTTGATGGACTATATCTATTTACTACCTTTGCGTTCAAAACAACGTTTTCAAGATTCTTTTTGCTCTTGTGTTTTTTTTGTTTTTTTTTTAATATATATATACAAATAATAACATTTTTATTTCCAGTATGTGATTTTTATTTTCTACATTTTTGAATTTGGTGTGGTTCCATATTTTATCTCCTCCTAATGTTATTGCTCATAACTAGTTGCCTCTGGCAAAAAGACAGAGATTGGGAACGAAAGAAAGACCAAATTTCGATGTTATCCGGCTATTGCTCGGCAAACGTTCGGAAGCTCGCCTCTAACGTTGCCTTGTTTACTCCATCGTTCGGATGACCGGCGTACATAGGGAAGAAGTGGGCGAAGGTCATTCTACAGCCTAGAGCTGTCTTTTGGAACGTTACAAGTTGAATTTGACTTTCTTTCGTTTCATCTCTTTGTACAGCAGGTACGCAGGTTACCGTCGAGAGTCTAGTAATACTGAAAGTGGATAAATGACAGTGAGGCCAGTGGAAAGAACTAGTTTAATTGCCTTAGCTGTAGTTAGAAGCAGATTGATTCGGGTCTCGATCGTTTGTTATTTATCGTAACCTCTTCTGTTTCATGCTATGAAAAGACAATTTAGAGTTACTGATTAATTGAAAAACCTTATACTGGAACGAGGTTTGGTCAAGCAATTAAAGAGAGATTTTATGAATGTGGTGTAATTCATTCTGGCTCAATGTGGGCGTCTGAACTGAGCCGCGTTTGCAGGAGTGGCCCTCAGTAGTCGTCAATGGGGTCTTTTGATCCAACCCTTCCTGAGAACACTTTCCCGAAATCCGAACAGTTTTTATTTTGGTACTATTTTAAGTCTCTTACCCCTGCTGGGAAAGATTTCAAACCAGGACATCGCTGATGAATGTAAATACAGGTACAGCATCTTACACAAGAAGAACACTGATGCGTCGCGTCTGTGAAACATCGTGAATGAGTCTCAAAACGCCTTTCGACAACAAAAAAATCAAGCGGGCTATTATTGCTTTTTAACCGGACTACACCCGGGACTCGGTTCTTTGGAGCAATATTTCTTGATCTGCCTTGTACGAACCCATAAAAATAACCAGATCCTGTTTCTTAATGATAATATAACTTCCCAAATCTCGCTATCCCCTTCTCTAAAAATCGCGTATTCAGATAAGCGCATTTAAAACTCTGTTTGATTTTAGTATCCAAGGCTAACTTACTCGGCTTTCTCACTCAGTGACACAATTAGTTAGGTAGCAATTAAAAAAAAGGACCCATATGCCAGATCTCCGTGTTCGCTTCTACACCTCTTCGTCATGCTGCTGTACTTTAAAATAATCCTGTAAACCCCGGGTGAAAATGGAGCAAAAATTAACTCCCTGAAAGTCCTGTGGACTCCTTAGCCATTCAAAATCAACTTGAGATTAAAGAGTTAGAAAACTATACTCCTAGACACATGTTGGAACACC